CGTATCGGCCTCAAGGCCTTCAACGGAGCTTTTGTGATTGTTTTTAATTTGCAACCGTATGTAGACATTGCTCCACCCACATCCGTTCAATGCGTCGAATGGGGTTGGAGTCGAGGGAAAACAAATAAGTGTTACCAAATATAACAATGTGCATTTCATAAGTATTCTAATAAAGTGTGTACATAAAACGTATTAAACACGTCTGTAAAACCACAACGAGGACATCGACCTATCAAGTAAGTTTTCATAAATCATTGGGTACAGTGCAAGAAAAAACGTCAGAGTAGTCTGAAGTGGTGGCATTAATTCATGTTCACATTTACAACATAAAAATGCACGGGCATTTCATCATTAAGACCTTTTGGGAGTAATGTCTGGAGGGTGAAAATCCAAAAAACATTATCTTTTGCTCAGAGTATTTTTTTATATAACCTCCCCTGTCTGATGTCTTGACTTTCTCTATGCCACAAAATCATCTAAAGGTAGAAATGTCATGTTATTGGTCATTCAAATGTACTGCGACGGGATAATCCCCCTCGTGTCTCCTGATTGACCTTTTATGTTCACTAATGCTCTGTTTTGAGAGAACGAGAGGTTTTACCTACATAACACAGCCCAGCCCACGTGGACATTTAATCATGTCGATAACATGGGTGGAGGAGCACGTAATGTCATTTATTTTGGAAACGTTTTCCTGTAAGTGGGTGGCAGAAATATTCACACTATATCATATTGTGTATGCACGCATGACTGTAAGTCGCTTTGGATAAAAGCGTCTGCTAAATGGCATATTTTTATATTTTTATATTTTATTGTTTCACTGTGCGCTGCCTCTGCCTTTATAGCTACCATTCGGAGGAGGGCGTAAAAGAGCCTGGCTCATTTTCTTTTGTGTTTGGCAGTTGGCATGGACCAATTTTTTATCGGGTAAATAGCGACCTCTCCTATATGTACAATAAGTGGCGTGTTCTTAAATTCAGCTGGCAAATCTGGGTCCGATGATTTTTAAAAATGCCAGTGTTTCTTGCCAGCATCTCCCACTTTGCGCGAGTTGAAAATATATGTGGTGGTGAACATTCCAGAGTGTTCTTTAGCTCGAGGTTTTTTTGTAGCAGTTCATCTAGTTTTCCCTAGTGCCAAATGAATAGCTTCATCCACACATTGTGGAGAGTAGCCTCTCAGAAACCTATTGCGCCTCTCCGTTGCTTTTCTAGATAGTCCTCTGTGAAGTGGTATATATGGCGCAGTCTGAAAAAATGGCTTCTTGGAAGTCTTGTTTTTAATGGCTCAGGGTGGAAGCTTTCCCCCTGTAATATAGGATTTATGTCCGTTTCTTTTCTTTACAGAGTTGTAAACAGGGTTCCATTTGATTTCTCAGGCCACATATCGAGGTAATGAACACGTTTCGTGTCACGTTTAATAGTGAATTTGAGATTAGGGTCAATGTCATTGAGTTATGTCATGAAGTCTGACAGCTCTTCTGGCGTTCCTCCCCATATGCAAAACATTTCAATATATCTATACCACTTCAGGATTTTATTCAAGAATGGATTTCATTTTCATTGTTAACAAAACGTTCTTCAAATTGACCCACGTTAAGGTTGGCATAGCTTGGAGCGAATGTGGAGCCCATCGATGCTCCATTCGTTATATGTCAAAACATATTCAGCCAGCTCTAGAATAAAGTTCGTTGGTGGGTATTTGTTAGTATCTCGGTCTCTGAAGTAGTGAGCTAGGGCTTAGGGTTTAGGGCTTTTGGGGGGAAGCCTGGCTTCCCTTGGCATCCACGAATACACACCACTGCTTGATAAGTGTGTGAACTGAACAATTTTCCTGTCCTGCTAAGCATTCGAAATGTAAGAAGTAATTTTGGGTGTCAGGGAAAATGTATGGAGTAAAAAGTACATTATTTTCTTTAGGAATGTAGTGAAGTAAAAATAAAAGTAATCAAAAATATAAACAGTAAAGTACAGATACCCGAAGAAAAAAAAACACTTTAGTACTTTAAAGTATTTTTACACCACTGACTACAGCGTGGATCTCTGTAGCTCAATTGGTAGAGCACGGCGCTTGTAACGCGAGGGTAGTGGGTTCGATCCCCGGGACCACCCATACGTACAAATGTATGCGCACACGACTGTAAGTCGTTTTGGATAAAAGCGTCTGCTAAATGGCATATTATTATTATACACACAACTGTCATTTTGTACACAAGAAAGCACGCGATGCGCTCATTAAACAGCACACACCGTAACCATCGATTCAGGACCATGGACAGAAGGCTACCACCAGTCAGCGCGATGAAAGCTGCCAATTTCAGCACCACCGGAGTTGCCAGCCAGGACAATAGGAGCACCGCTCCAAGGCTCACCTCAGAGCACAACCAATAGGCTACATTGGTCATTTTGCCTATACTAATAAAATAACGCAAAGCTGTATATCTATAAACAGCAATTAGACCTGCAAAAGCAAGCATTAAGAATCACAGATATATCTAACATGCATTGAAGTAAAAAGCAAAGGCCTAAAGTAACTATACATTACATTCACAAATCAGCCAAACAATCAGGCTTACATGAGGGAAAACCAATGAATTAATAATTCTGGAACAGTGGCCAGGACCATAACGGTTGTAGCTTACCATTTAGAAGAGCTTCGGCCTCCTCGATGATGTGTTGAACCTCATGAGAAGTTTCTGATTCCATTCTCTTTCCGGGCAAAAGTTCCTTATCTTTTCTCGCCGTGTATTCCAACATCGACAGAAAAAGTCCATTGCTTCCGTTTTCCCCCATCGAGTCAATCGCATGCAAACTCCCTCGCAAAGGAAGCTCGTTTACTGCAATAAACTACACACACAGCTGTGAGTGTTTCTGGGTAAGTCTCTAAGAGGTTTGCACACCTGGATTGTACAATAATCTTCAAGCTTTTTCAAGTTGGTTGTTGATCATTGCTAGACAGTCATGTTCAAGTCTTGCCATAGATTTTCAAGTAGATTTAAGTCAAAACTAACTAGGACACTCATGAACATTCAATGTCGTCAGATGTTCGTTTTTTAATTAATTTGTATAAATGTAAAAAAATAATAATTCCACTTTGACATTATGGGGTATTGTGTGAAAGCCAGTGACACAAAATCTCAATTTAATCCATTTCAAATTCTGGCTGTAAAATGTGGAAAAAGTAGAGGGGCGTGAATACTTTCTGAAGACACTGTAGTTAGTTAGGGCAGCTAGGGTTGGCTTGAATTGGTATAAATACAAGATTGCCTCGAACTGAACAATTAGGCCTATGCCTGGAACTGAACAATTAGGCCTATGCCTCGAACGAGGACGTGGATTGAAATGAGAGTCAATGAGGGTTACCTGTTGCGGGCAAGGACTGATATCCCACCATTTTGACCACAGGATTTGACAAGACAGCACAAACTGACCTTGGACAAACCAGTGCAGTTGGAAATAATATAAATGTTGACAGACAGGGGGCAGTGCTGCTCAGTGGTGTGGTGGCTTTTGAAGTTCTCGTCTTCATTAGGACAGTTAACTCAACACGGGTACCTTAACATGACGCTCCTCAGTCTGTCTCACATTTGAATGTCTGTTTTGTGTGCTTTGTCTTTGCTTAGTTAGCGTAGAAATAATCATGGCAGCACGTCTTATATTGATAATCTTTGCGTTCTAAGTGGAACCCTATTCCCTGGTCAAAAGTAGTGCACTTAAGGGAATAGGTCCCAATTGGAACGCACAATGTTTCATTCCCCCCTATTCCTCAAAGTGTTGTTTGTATAACAGATTTGTCTTTGAACAATACAATTATTGGTGGTTATTTGTCCCAGTGAGGGATTCCATTTTGCATTCCACTGAGTTTAGCAATGAGCTGAAATTCATTCATACACCTTTACATTCAGAACTTTTATGAGGCAGAAAAGATTTGGCAGGAGCCTTCAGATCCTCGAAAAGTTCTACAGCTGCACCATTGAGAGGATCTTGACTGGCTGCATCACCGCTTGATATGGCAACTGCTCTGCCTCCGAACGCAAGGCGCTACAGAGGGTAGTGCGTACGGCCCAGTACATCATTGGGGCCGAACTCCCTGCCATCCAGGACCTCTATACCAGGCGGTGTCAGAGGAAGGCCTTAAAAATTGTAAAAGACTCCAGTCACCCAAGTCATAGACTGTTCTCTCTGCTACCGGAGTGCCAAGTCTGGGACCAAAAGGCTCCTAAACAGCTTCTACCCCCAAGCCATAAGACTGCTAAATAGTTAACCAAATAGCTACACGAACTATCTGCATTGCCCCTTTTTGCATCTATGCACACACAATGGACTCTACCCACACACTCACACGTACTGACACTGACACTCCAACACACACACACACACACACACACACACACACACACACACACACACTCACACGTAACACACTTTCACACTCATCACATACACTGCTGCTAATGTCTATTATCTATCCTGTTGTCTAGTCACTTTATCCCTTCCTATATATATATCTACCTCAATTACCTTGTGCCACTGCACATCGACTCGATACTCCTTGTATATAGCCAAGCTATCATTGCTCATTGTGTATGTATTCCTCGTGTTAATGTTTTTATTTATTTAGTAATATTATTATTTTATTTTTTATTGTATTCTGCATTGTTGTGAATGGCCCGTAAGTAAGCATTTCACTGTTAGTCTGAACCTGTTGTTTATGAAGCATGTGACGATTAAAATGTGATTTGATTGGTCATAATGTGTTTTAGTCAGTTCAGTGTTCATGTTGGTATCTTAGAAAGAAATATCCAAAGGTACCTCATGACTACTTTCTCACATGAAGGCCCTTGGGGGACAGGCTGTATCAATAGTCTTAAAGTGCTCTCTTTCCTTGTCTCCTGCACTAAAGTTAACGGAACAACTAGATAGGAAATATCTACTCCCAAGCAGCATATACTCCCAACGCATGGTTGTTTTCACCTATCCTGTGTTTTCACATCAGTACAGATGAAGGTGAGGAGACGAGGAGAAGAAACTAGTCTAGAGTTGGGATTATTGAGACGCACTCCGCCACGGTCACAAGTTTAGGGAGTTGAAGTTAGGTTCAGTTTTTCTACTGCTAGGTGTATTTCTTAGGAGGGCTGTTGAAAATGTGACAGAAACGCTGCGACGTGATCAACATTGCTTTAAAAAAAATAGTTTTTAACTGTTTTGTTGTACATATAAAGGTGTATTTTAAATGGTAGAGAGGATCAAAACAACTGAAATTCTTAAACTCTTACATAAGTGAAGTTATTTCGCCATGGACGAGGCAATAGCGATTATTTTGATATCCGTTGCGATGTTTTTGGGATGTTTTCTGTTAGGTTTGATTCCACTTTCGATCAACTTTTCTGAGGTAAGTCATTTAATTCTCAACATTATATTCCCTCCATTTCCTTCCCTTCACTGTACTTCCTCCTATGGTCTCTTCTCCCCGATGCCTATCCATGCCAAAGTTGTCTCAAAGCTGTCAACGTTTTCTCAAACTTGTCTGATATATAAACAGTGCATTCGGAAAGTATTCAGACCCCTTGATTTGTTTCCACATCTTGTTACGGTACAGCCTTATTTAAAAATGGTTTAAATAAATACAAATCCTCAGCAATCTACACACAATACCCCATAATGACATATCGAAAAAAACAGGTTTTTAGAAATTTTTGCACATTTATTAAATAAAAAAACAGAAATACCTTATCTACATACAGTACCAGTCATACGTTTGGACACACCTACTCATTCAAGGGTTTTTCTTTAATTTTTTAAAACTATTTTCTACATTGTAGAATAATAGTGAAGACATCAAAACTATGAAATAACACATATGGAATCATGTAGTAACCAAAAAAGTGTTAAACAAATGAAAATATATTTTATATTTGAGATTCTTCAAATAGCCACACTTTGCCTTGAAGACAGCTTTGCACACTTTGGCATTCTCTCAACCAGCTTCACCTGGAATGCTTTTCCAACAGTCTTGAAGGAGTTCCCACAAATGCTGAGCACTTGTTGGCTGCTTTTCCTTCACTCTGCGGCAGTGGCGGCTCCTGAAAAAATTCTCAGGAGGGGCAATTTTTCTGATGATTTAGGTGACCTACACACATTTAAAAAAAGATATGTCCAGCAACAACATGAAGACAGGGGCAGCATATAAGTCAATACCAGAAGCATTTATTGACTGATCTGGGGAGATGGATTCCAGTTTCTGTGACAGATTATAAATAATCTCTGATGCCTTTGTTATATTAGCTTTTGGTTGAATGTACTGTCGTAGTAAATATATAATGTTATAGCTTGGTCTGACTAAATTCTTGTGCATGACCCATTTTGTGTTGGGCCTTTGTATTCAATACAATGAACAAGAGTCCTATCTTGTCAGCCTTGTCAGCAGGTGGCTAAGGATAACACCCACGCCATAGGTCTCTCAGTTCTTCCAACTCACGAGTTCTTGCCCTGAGGACACACACACACACCCCCACACACACACACACACACACACACACACACACACACACACATCATCACTGATAAACACACACACACACACACACACATCATCACTGATAACAAACACACACACACACACACACACACACACACACACACACACTGATAACAAACACACACACACACACACACACAAATCCTCTTCTCTTAGGCTGAACATCTGAAGACAGAGAACCCGACTCAGAGCCAATGCAACAGTGACACTAGCCTGGAGGTGACCTCGCCCAATTCATCAGGACCAATCAGAAGATCAGAATTACTAGATTCAACCTACTTCATTTTATTGTATAAAATGTCAGCACACAATGTTTAGGGGCTCTTCTGATAAACTCCCTACGAGTTTGACGAACGGGTCCGTGCACGCGATTCCAGATATCTTTACCTCTGAATAAACTGCCTTATATTATACAATTATCCACCTTGTCCAAAAGTCTCTACTTGGTCTCCGTTCTCCAGTAAACTTGTTTTATCAACAATAGTAAGGTTCAATGACACAGAAAGCAGTTCAATGTCGGGGTACAGAGTCGCTCTCTTACCAGGATCGCGGTCCGCTCTGACCAGGGTGAAGCCGGCCGGCTCCACCTCTCTGTCCGGGACTCTGTCATCCAGCCAAGTCTCCCAGCTGTATTGGGATTCCGCTGCCAGCAGCGTTTTCATTATTTAGTCCGTTCGTAGCGGGTATGTACACGATCAACAAGATCAGTCCAAAACCGAAGATCAGTCCAAAGCAGAATGTTTGCAGAATGTTTGTAAACTAAGTCTACAAATTAAAAACATAAAATAACGCCACACTGCAGGTCGCAACATAGACGCTGTTAGCCGCCATTGTCTTAGTTACGTTCAACGTTACGTCACGTATGACGAAAGCGCGTAAGTGCAAGCCCACAGACACCCATAAAGAATGTATTGAAAGCTTTGAAATGTGAAAAAAATAGATTTTACATGACAGGCTATGAGAGACTTCTGGGCGATTTTCAACCTGACTGAAATCGCCCAAAAAACGGGCGGGGCCATTTGAAGCACGACTTTAGCCTGATTTGACATTTAGTGGCTGGCAGATCAGACGTGAACACTGATAACTGCTGTTGCCGTGATATAATTGATTAGAAAAAAAATCCCTTCCTTTTCCCGTTTGGCAGTGCGTCGCCCATATCGCCCTATTGAACAAGCCGTCCCTGCTCTGCGGTCCAACTCATCCCAAACCATCTCAATTGGGCTGAGGTCGGGGGATTGTGGAGGCCAGGTCATCTGATGCAGCACTCCATCACTCTCCTTCTTGGTCAAATAGCCCTTACACAGCCTGGAGGTGTGTTGGGTCATTGTCCTGTTGAAAAACAAATGATAGTCCCACTAAGCCCAAACCAGATGGGATGGCGTATCGCTGCAGAATGTTGTGGTAGCCATGCTGGTTAAGTGTGCCTTGAATTCTAAATAAATCACAGACAGTGTCACCAGCAAAGCACCCCCACACCATAACACCTCCTCCATGCTTTACGGTGGGAACCACACATGCGGAGATCATCCTTTCACCCACACCGCGTCTCACAAAGACACAGCGGTTGGAACCAAAAATCTCAAATTTGGACTCCAGACCAAAGGACAAATTTCCACCGGTCTAATGTCCATTGCTCATGTTTCTTGGCCCAAGCAGGTCTCTTCTTCTTATTGGTGTCCTTTAGTAGTGGTTTCTTTGCAGCAATTCGACCATGAAGGCCTGATTCACACAGTCCCCTCTGAACAGTTGATGTTGAGATGTGTCTGTGACTTGAACTCTGTGAAGCATTTATTTGGGCTGAATTTCTGAGGCTGGTAACTCTAATGAACTTATCCTCTGCAGCAGAGGTAGCTCTGGGTCTTCCATTCCTGTGGCGGTCCTCATGAGAGCCAGTTTCATCATAGCGCTTGATGGTTTTTTGCGACTGCACTTGAAGAAACTTTCAAAGCGCTTGAGATTTTCCGTATAGACTGACCTTCATGGCTTAAAGTAATGATGGACTGTCGTTTCTCTTTGCTTATTTGAGCTGTTCTTGACATAATATGGACTTGGTCTTTTACCAAATAGGGCTATCTTCTGTATACCCCCCTACCTTGTCACAACACAGCTGATTGGCTCAAATGCATTAAGAAGGAAAAATATTCCACAAATTAACTTTTAAGAAGGCACACCTGTTAATTTAAATACATTCTAGGTGACTACCTCATGAAGCTGGTTGAGAGAATGCTAAGAGTGTGCAAAGCTGTCATCAAGGCAAAGGGTGGCTATTTGAAGAATCTCAAATATAACATATATTTTCACTTGTTTAACACTTTTTGGGTTACTACATGATTCCATATGTGTTATTTCATAGTTTTGATGTCTTCACTATTATTCTACAATGTAAAAAAATAGTAACAATAAAGAAAAACCCTGGAATGAGTAGGTGTGTCCAAACCTTTGACTGGTACTGTAAGTATTCAGACCCTTTGCAATGAGACTCGAAATTGAGCTCAGGTGCATCCTGTTTCCATTGATCATCCTTGAGATGTTTCTCATTAGAGTCCATCTGTGGTAAATACAATTGATTGGACATGATTTGGAAAGGCACACACCTGTCTATATAAGGTCTCAACGTTGACAGTGCATGTCAGAGCAAAAACCAAGCCATGAGGTCGAAGGAATTGTCCGTAGAGCGCCGAGACAGGATTGTGTCGAGGCACAGATCTGGGGAAGGGTACCAAAACATTTTTGCAGTATTGAAGGTCCCCAAGAACACGGTGGCCTCCATCATCCTTAAATGGAAGAAGTTTGTAACCACCAAGACTCTTCCTAGAGCTGGCCGCCCGGCCAAACTGAGCAATCGGGAGAGAAGGGCCTTGGTCAGGGAGGTGACCAAGAACCTGATGGGCACTTAAGAGTTCCTCAGTGGAGATGGGAGAACATTCCAGAAGGACAACCATCTCTGCAGCACTCCACCAACCAGGCCTTTATGGTAGAGTGGCCAGACGGAAGCCACTCCTCAGTAAAAGGCACATGACAGCCCACTTGGAGTTTGCCAAAAGGCACCTAAAAACTCTCAGACCATGAGAAACAAGATTATCTGGTCTGATGAAACCAAGATTTAACTCTTTGGCCTGAATGCCAAGCGTCACGTCTGGAGGAAACCTGGCACCATCCATACGGTGAAGCACGGTGGTGGCAGCATCATGCTGTGGGGATGTTTTCCAGCGGCAGGGACTGGGAGACTAGTCAGGATCTAGGGAAAGATGAACGGAGCAAAGTACAGAGAGTTCCTTGATGAAATCCTGCTCCAGAGCGCTCAGAACCTCAGACTGGGGTGAAGATTCACCTTCCAACAGGACAACGACCCTAAGCACACAGCCAAGACAACGCAGTAGTGGCTTTGAGACAAGTCTCAGAATGTCCTTTAGTGGCCCAGCCAGAGCCCGGACTTGAACCCGATCTAACATCTCTGGAGCAGTGGCGGTTTTACACGGAGGCCGGGGGAGGCCCGTGCCTCCCTGGAAATGTCCCTGGCCACCCCTGTGGCCCCCCCGTGCTGACCAAATAAAAAATTATGAATTTATAACTATTTTACACGCGAGCGCCAAAAGCGGAACTAATGCAACGCTCTACACGGCAACGTTCTACACGGGTAAATTAGAGTGGCGCACCCGAAGGTCGAAGGTAAGCAAAACGATTTAATATCATAAGTGACTTGTTGTTCTTGCACATAGCCTACATGTTCGTTTTGTTCCTCACACATAAATCAAATCAAGTTTTTAAATGTCTGGTCTCGATTTGTTTAGAAATGTAATCATATCTAAGCAAACTCATCGAAGCAGAAGCAAATATCCAAATGTTAGTAGGCTATCCTTGCTAGGTCTACACAATGTTGTGATGTTAACCACGTAACTTCATCCGTCTTGGCTGTTGCATCGCGATAACAAATACATTTTTAGTAAAGTAATCAACAGGTTATCTGCCAGTGTTAAGTAGGGAGGGATGGTTAGGTAACAAAATGTAATGCATGCCCCTACGTTTTTTCTTCTTTTTTTACATTTACATTTTTAGTCATTTAGCAGACGCTCTTATCCAGAGCGACTTACAGTTAGTGAATACATTTTTTTTTTTATACTGGCCCCCCGTGGGAATCGAACCCACAACCCTGGCGTTGCAAACGCCATGCTCTATCAACTGAGCTACATCCCTGCCGGCCATTCCCTCCCCTACCCTGGACGACGCTGGGCCAATTGTGCGCCGCCCATGAGTCTTCTAATAGTTCTTCTAATAGTTATCATGAAACGAGGAAGGGACATAAAGTCATTTTTTGCCCCAGCAAACAAAAAAGTTAGATAGAGTTTATGATTTTATTCTTTTGAATTATCTCTGCCAAACATCTATGTACTACAAATCTTCAAGCTCCACATATGTTTTATGGCATCCACTAAACCTCTTTAGATATTTGTAAATTATACAGTGTAATACCTTTCAACGAAAGTTTATTTTATTTTTTACCAACTATGATTTTTCCTTTTGAAAACAAGCAAAGCAAGAAAAAAAAGAAACAAAATCACTCCAATCATTGCACACTTGTGTCGTTCAGACTTTGCAGGTCCAGCTTTGACATGATGATCTAACTAACACTAATATTGTAACTAATATTGTAACTGAAATATGTATGATCCTATGATGAGCGATTGCTTACTTCCCTTTCACTCTTAAAAAATTACTGAAAAAAAATGTGTATAAAAAGGTATATGTAGTATATGTTTGTTTAGTGAGCATTCATGCTGTCATTTTTTCCTAATGTGAACTATGGTGGAAATGTGCTGTCCTAAATGGACTTGCCCATATATGTTGTAAAGCCTTTTTTTGTACACCTGCTCATCAACTGACAGTGAAGTACACAAAGACACAGACACACACACACACACACACAGACACCTGTAATATTCTTGTTTTCATGTTGTTGCTGATATCCATCAGTGTTGTTCATATTGCTACATTGTGTTGACATGATTGTTGCTTTTAAACGAATGTTAACTTAATGTTTATTGTCTGCATCCTATTGGACTACTGGATGTTAATGTGTAACACGTTTCCCTGTTTATGTGCTTTAGCAATACTGTATGTCAATATGGTCATGCTAGTAAAGCCTCTTTGAATTGAATTTCTTTTCTGATTTGGTTTATTTTACCTAAATGGATACAGGGTAGTGTGTTTTGTTTATAAATCACTCAGAAAGTTTTCTTTCTTAAAACAAAATGTGGAATCAACTGTCCACAGTAGTGGGGCTTCCATAAATAGGAAATGGCACATTGTTGTACCCTTTGTTGTATCCTGGAGTTTTGTTCACATTGAATATGAACCCTGTATTTGTACCCTGTACTTTTTATTTTATTTTTATTGTTTTATTTTTTCATTTTTATGGCACTATCTCTCTTGCATCTGCACTCTTGTACAAAATACGTGTTATAATAAATGTCATATGATTTTAAAGTAAAATAAAGTTTATAATCTTTGAATATCATGTGTTGCCAGTTTTTTTATGTGTGCCCCCCTGATTAAACACTGGCCCCTCCTTGGCCCCCCTAGTAAAATGTGTCTAGAACCGCCACTGCTCTGGAGAGACCTGAAAATAGCTGTGCAGCGATGCTCCCCATCCAACCTTACAGAGCTTGAGAGCTTCAGCAGTGATAAATTCATGAACTTCTTTGAGGAAAAGATCATGACCATTAGAAAGCAAATTACGGACTCCTCTTTGAATCTGCGTATTCCTCCAGGGCTTAGCTGTCCTGGATCTGCACAGCTCTGCGAGGGCCTGGGATCGGGAGAGACACTTAAGTGTTTTAGTACTATATCTCTTGACACAATGATGAAAATAATCATGGCCTCTAAACCTTCAAGCTGCATACTGGATCCTATTCCTACTAAACTGCTGAAGGAGCTGCTTCCTGTGCTTGGCCCTCCTATGTTGAACATAATAAACAGCTCTCTATCCACCGGATGTGTACCAAACTCACTAAAAGTGGCAGTGATAAAGCCTCTCTTGAAAAAGCCAAACCTTGACCCGGAAAATATAAAAAACTATCGGCCAATATCGAATCTTCCATTCCTCTCAAAAATTTTAGAAAAAGCTGTTGCGCAGCAACTCACTGCCTTTCTGAAGACAAACAATGTATACGAAATGCTTCAGTCTGGTTTTAGACCCCATCATAGCACTGAGACTGCACTTGTGAAGGTGGTAAATGACCTTTTAATGGCGTCAGACCGAGGCTCTGCATCTGTCCTCGTGCTACTAGACCTTAGTGCTGCCTTTGACACCATCGATCACCACATTCTTTTGGAGAGACTGGAAACCCAAATTGGTCTACACGGACAAGTTCTGGCCTGGTTTAGATCCTACCTGTCGGAAAGATATCAGTTTGTCTCTGTGAATGGTCTGTCCTCCGACAAATCAACTGTACATTTCGGTGTTCCTCAAGGTTCCGTTTTAGGACCACTATTGTTTTCACTATATATTTTACCTCTTGGGGATGTTATTCGAAAACATAATGTTAACTTTCACTGCTATGCGGATGACACACAGCTGTACATTTCAATGAAGCATGGTGAAGCCCCAAAATTGCCCTCGCTAGAAGCCTGTGTTTCAGACATAAGGAAGTGGATGGCTGAAAACTTTTTACTTTTAAACTCGGACAAAACAGAGATGCTTGTTCTAGGTCCCAAGAAACAAAGAGATCTTCTGTTAAATCTGACAATTCATCTTGATGGTTGTAAAGTCGTCTCAAATAAAACTGTGAAGGACCTAGGCGTTACTCTTGACCCTGATCTCTCTTTTGACGAACATATCAAGACTGTTTCAAGGACAGCTTTTTTCCATCTACGTAACATTGCAAAAATCAGAAATTTTCTGTCCAAAAATGATGCAGAAAAATTAATCCATGCATTTGTTACTTCTAGATTAGACTACTGCAATGCTCTATTTTCCGGCTACCCGGATAAAGCACTAAATAAACTTCAGTTAGTGCTAAATACGGCTGCTAGAATCCTGACTAGAACCAAGAAATTTGATCATATTACTCCAGTGCTAGCTTCCCTACACTGGCTTCCTGTTAAGGCAAGGGCTGATTTCAAGGTTTTACTGTTAACCTATAAAGCGTTACATGGGCTTGCTCCTACCTATCTTTCCGAGTTGGTCCTGCCGTACATACCAATACGTACGCTACGGTCACAAGACGCAGGCCTCCTAATTGTCCCTAGAATTTCTAAGCAAACAGCGGGAGGCAGGGCTTTCTCCTATAGATCTCCATTTTTATGGAACAGTCTGCCTACCCATGTGAGAGACGCAGACTCGGTCTCAACCTTTAAGTCTTTACTGAAGACTTATCTCTTCAGTAGGTCATATGATTGAGTGTAGTCTGGCCCAGGAGTGTGAAGGTGAACGGAAAGGCTGGAGCAACGAACAGCCCTTGCTGTCTCTGCCAGGCCGGTTCCCCTCTCCACTGGGGTTCTCTGCCTCTAACCCTGTTGCAGGGGCTGAGTCACTGGCCTGCTGGTGCTCTTTCATGCCGTCCCTGGGAGGGGTGCGTCACTTGAGTGGGTTGAGTTACTGACGTGATCTTCCTGTCTGGGTTGGCGCCCCCCCCCCCCCTTGGTTTGTGCTGTGGTGGAGACCTCTGTGGGCTATACTCGGCCTTGTCTCAGGATTGTAAGTTGGTGGTTGGGGATATCCCTCTAGTGGTGCGGGGGCTGTGCTTTGGCGGAGTGGGTGGGGTTATATCCTTCCTGTTTGGCCCTGTCCGGGGGTTTCTTCGGATGGGGCCACAGTGTCTCCGGACCGCTCCTGTCTCAGCCTCCAGTATTTATGCTGCAGTAGTTTATGTGTCGGGGGGCTGGGGTTAGTTGGTTATACCTGGAGTACTTCTCCTGTCTTATCCAGTGTCCTGTGTGAATTTAAGTATGCTCTCTCTAATTCTCTCGTTCTCTCTTTCTCTCTGAGAACCTGAGCCCTAGGACCATACGTCAGGACTACCGGGCATGATGACACCCTGCTGCCCCCAGTCCGCCTGGCCTTGCTGCTATTCCAGTTTCAACTGTTCTGCCTGCGGCTACGAAACCCCTACCTGTCCCAGACCTGCTGTTTTCAACTCTAAATGATCGGCTATGAAAAGCCAACTGAGAGACCTGAGCCCTAGGACCATACGTCGGGACTACCGGCCGTGGTGACTCCTTGCTATCCCCAGTCCGCCCGGCCTTGCTGCTATTCCAGTTTAAACTGTTCTGCCTGCGGTTATGGAACCCCTACCTGTCCCAGACCTGCTGTTTTAAACTCTAATGATCGGCTATGAAAAGCCAACTGAGATTTATTCCTGATTATTATTTGACCATGCTTGTCACTTATGAACATTTTTGAACATCTTGGCATGGTTCTGTTATAATCTCCACCCGGCACAGCCAGAAGAGGACTGGCCACCCCTCATAGCCTGGTTCCTCTCTAGGTTTCTTCCTAGGTTTTGCCTTTCTAGGGAGTTTTTCCTAGCCACCGTGCTTCTACACCTGCATTACTAGCTGTTTGGGGTTTTAGGCTGGGTTTCTGTACAGCACTTCGAGATATTAGCTGATGTAAGAAGGGCTATATAAAATAAAATTGATTGATTGATTGATTGAGAGGATCTGCAGAGAAGAATGGGAGAAACTCCCCAAATACAGGTGTGACAAGCTTGAGGCTGTAATCGCTGCCAAAGGCGCTTCAACAAAGTACTGAGGAAAGGGTCTGAATACTTATGTAAATGTTATTTTTTTTAAATGTTTAATACATTTGCACACAAAAAATAATAATACTGTTTTTGCTTTGTAATTCAAATCAAATCAAATGGGATTGGTCACATACACATATTTAGCATATGTTATTGCGGGTGTAGCGAAATGCTTGTGTCCCTAGCTCCAACAGTGCAGTAGTATCTAACAATTCACAACAATATACAAATCTAAAAGTAAAATAATGCAATTAAGAAATGTCTGTGCCGGTCTTGACGCCTTAACACTCTGCCATAAATTAGAGAGGAGGTGAATCTATTTTACATTTACATTTACGTCATTTAGCAGACGCTCTTATCCAGAGCGACTTACAAATTGGTGCATTCACCCTATAGCTAGTGTGATAACCACTTTACAAATTGTTTTTTCTAATTATTAATTTTCTATTTTTCTATTTTTATTATTATTATTTATTTATTTTTATCTATTTTTTTAAATTTTATAATTTTTTTTGTTATATATATATATTTTTTTTTTTTTTTTTAGATAATTTTTATATATATATATATTTTTTACTTTTATCTATCTCTGACCCTCTACTATGGTGAAAGGAACGTCCTTTGTTTCAGAGACTTTTGCCGCCCAAAACGTTTACGTCCAAAAAGTTTGTAATGGTCAGTGGGGATCTTAACACTAATGTCATATTGTTTATTATTTTGTGATGTCATAAAAAATGTTACGTTGTGCAACTAAGATAAAGGATGTCTGTGAAGATAGGAATGTGATTTACATTTTTGCCCAGTCAGTAGCCACGCCCGAGGGGCTCAGAAAGATTAAATCAATTTGTGTGGTACGGATTGATCAGTAAAGGCTGGGGTTTGTGCGGATGCAAGAACTATGCGATGTTCAGAATGATTTGATATGAGATAGTGACTAATAAGTGAATGTTATTGACGTAAGAGATGTCCACATATCTTCTAGAGTTAATTCGGGAACTCGTTAAACAAATTATCCCGTGGTACCCCAAATCCTAATGAGTTAGTTACATTATTAATTTAATCGGGTAACAATTAAACATAGTTAATTAGAGAAATACAAGTCATCAGATTAATATTAAGTCACGTCACGACACATTATTAAAGTGACTAGTGTTCCATTATTAAAGTGGCCAGTGATTCCATGTCTATGTACTGTATATAGGGCAGCAGCCTCTAAGGTGCAGGGTTACGTAACCGGGTGGTACCCGGCTAGTGATGGCTATTTAACAGTCTGATGGCCTTGAGATAGAAGCTGTTTTTCAGTCTTTCGGTCCCAGCTTTGATGCACCTGTACTGACCTCCCCTTCTGGATGGTAGCGGGGGGAACAGGCCGTGGCTCGGGTGGTTGATGTCTTTGATGATCTTTTTGGTCTTCCTGTGACATCGGGTGCTGTATGTGTCTTGGAGGGCGGGTAGTTTGCCCCCGGTGATGCGTTGGCAGGACCATACCACCCTCTGGAGAGCCCTGCGGTTGTGGGCGGTGCAGTTGCTGTACCAGGCGGTGAGACCGCCCGACAGGATGCTCTCAATGGTGCATCTGTAAACGTTTCTGAGGGTCTTAGGGGCCAAGCCAAATTTCTTCAGCCTCCTGAGGTTGAAGAGGCGCTGTTGTGCCTTCTTCACCACACTGTCTGTGTGGGGGGACCATTTCAGATTGTCAATGATGTGTACGCCGAGGAACTTGAAGCTTTCCACCTTCTACACTGCGGTCCCGTCGATGTGGATAGGGGTGTGCTCCCTCTGGTGTTTCCTGAAGTCCACGATCAGCTCCTTCGTTTTGTTGATGTTGAGAGAGAGGTTATTTTCCTGGCCCCAGGCTGTCTCGTCATGGTTGGTAATCAGGCCTACTACTGTTGTGTCGTCTGCAAACTTGATGATTGAGTTGGAGGCGTGCGTGGCCACGCAGTCATGGGTGAACAGGGAGTACAGGAGGGGGCTGAGCATGCACCCTTGTGGGGCCCCTCTGTTGAGGATCAGCGAAGTGGAGGTGTTATTTCCTACCTTCACCACCTGGGGGCGGCCCGTCAGGAAGTCCACGACCCAGTTGCACAGGGCGGGGTTCAGACCCAGGGCCTCGAGCTTAATGATGAACTTGGAGGGTACTATGGTGTTGAATGCTGAGCTATAGTCAATGAACAGCATTCTTACATAGGTATTCCTCTTGTCCAGATGGGATAGGGCAGTGTGCAGTGTGATGGAGATTGCATCATCTGTGGATCTATTGAGGTATTATGCAAATGTTAGTGGGTGTAGGGTGTCAGGTAAGGTAGAGGTGATATGATCCTTAACTCTCAAATCACTTCATGATGACAGAAGTGAGTGCTATGGGGCGATAGTCATTTAGTTCAGTTACCTTTGCTTTCTTGGGTACAGGAACAATGGTGGACATCTTAAAGCAAGTGGGGTACAGCAGACTGGGATAGGGAGAGATTGAATATGTCCGTAAACACTCCAGCCAGCTGGTCTGTGCATGCTCTGAGGACATGGCTAGGGATGCCGTCTGGGCCGGCAGCCTTGTGAGTGTTAACACAATTAAATATCTTACTCACGTCGTCCACGGAGAACAAGACCCCACAGTCCTTGGGAGCGGCCCGCATCGTTGGCACTGTGTTATCCTCAAAGCGGGCGAAGAAGGTGTTTAGCTTGTCTGGGAGCAAGACTGCGGTGTCTGCGACGTGGCTGGTTTTCCTCCTTTGTAATCCGTGATTGTCTGTAGACCCTGCCACATACGTCTCGTGTCTGAGCCGTTGAATTGCGACTCCACTTTGTCTCTGTACTGACGTTTTGCCTGTTTGATTGCCTTACGGAGGGAATAACTACACTGTTTGTATTCAACCATATTCCCAGTCACCTTGCCATGGTTAAATGCGGTGGTTCGTGCTTTCAGTTTTGCGTGAATGCTGCCATCTATCCACGGTTTCTGGTTTGGGTAGGTTTTAATAGTCACCGTGGGAACAACATCCCCTATACACTTCCTGATGAACTCAGTCACCGTGTCCGTGTAAGCATCAATGTTATTCTCAGAGGCAACCCCGGAACATATCCCAGTCCGTGTGATCAAAACAATCTTGACGCATGTATTCTGATTGGTCAGACCAGCGTTCAATAGACCTTAGCACGGGTACTTCCTGTTTGAGTTTCTGCCTATAGGAAGGCAGAAGCAAAATTGAGTCGTGATCTGATTTGCCGGGGGAGTGCTTTGCAGGCATTTCGAAAGGGGGAGTAGCAGTGATCTAGTGTTTTACCAAAGAGAGTACTACGGTCAATGTGTTGATAGAACTTCGGTAGCGTTTTCCTCAAATTTGCTTTGTTAAAATCCCCAGCTACAATAAATGCAGCCTCAGGATATTTTGTTTCAAGTTTGCATAGAGTCCAGTGTAGTTCCTTGAGGGTCGTCGTGGTATCGGCTTGAGGGGGAATTATACACGGCTGTGACTATAACTGAAGAGAATTCTCTTGGGAGGTAATACGGTCTGCATTTAATTGTGAGGTATTCTAGGTCGGGTGAACAAAAGGACTTGAGTTTCTGTATGTTACTACAATTACATCATGAGTTGTTAATCATGAAACATACACCCCCGCCTTTCTTCTTCCCGGAGAGTTCTTTATTCCTGTCTGCGCGATGAACTGAGAAGCCAGCTGGCTGTATGGACGGGGACAGTGTATCCCAAGAGAGCCATGATTCCATGAAACAGAATATGTGTGTAGATTGATGAGGGGGAAAAAAATAATTCTATACATTTTTAGTATAAAATGTGGAAAAAGTCAAGGGTTCTGAATACTTTCCGAATGCACTGTATATAGTGGTCTCTGCTATGGGATCCGCTCCCACATTATTTTGTGAACATTCAATAGATAGCCAGTGTTTACCCTAGGATTTTTTTCAGCAGCGGTGGCATGGTAGTGGGCATGGCCAATGGAATGGTTTTAGAGGCCTTCCTCTTGGCCTCAGAGACAAAATGTTGTTTTAAAGTCAGTTTCCTGCAATTCTACATATTTTGTCATTGGGCTGAGAAAACATTGCAGTTTCAAAGCTTTTTTCCTGTAATTCTACACATTTCGCCATGGGGTTGAGAGACAATTGTCAGTTTTAAAGCTAATTTCCTTCAAATATACACATTCTGCCATGGCTTATGCCTTGTTCTTATTTTATCCGAGTGAGTCAAACATTATAACAAAATCAATGCCCCCCGCCTTCATTCAATATTTAAAAAATATAATTCTAAATGTATCAGAATCTTCAGAAGGTTCAATATTTGTCAACATGTGATTGCTACAATTTGTTGTTACCTTAAAAAATATGAAATAACAGTCATAAATAGGCTGCCAACTGGATTCTCTATAACCAGTTTGAATGTATGACTTATAAAAAAAATAGTTATATTGGAAATGTAACATTTGTTCCCCCTCTCCCTCCTAGAACAAACAACAGTTAGTCAGTGTGTTTGTATACTAATGTGTGTGTGTGTGTGTGTTTGTGTGGTGTGTGTTTGTGTGGTGTGTGTGTGGTGTGTGTGTGTGTGTGGTGTGTGTGTATGTGTGGTGTGTGTGTGTGGTGTGTGTGTGTGTGTGTGTGTGTGTGTGTGTGTGTGTGTGTGTCCCTTTCTCTCCAAACAGAAAAGCCTGCAGTTTGTCAGTATATTCGGGGCAGGTCTTCTCTGTGGCACCGCTCTAGCTATTATCCTCCCAGAGGGGGTGGAACTGCTGGAAGAGTCGTGGAGAGGTGAGGGGTACCAGACATAATGTAATGGGCTTTGTGGGTAAGACCCAGGGTCAAGACCTCAGCGACAGCAAGGCGCAACAACTCACTGTAGGCTAGATCCCTGTTGTTGAGTTTGTACGGGCATATAGTCCCTGGATTGCAGCTATATTGCTGCTATAAGTAGTCAGGAGTCCTCTAAGGGTTAACTGTTCATTATGTATGGTACTGTATGTATTATGGACCTTCAAAAAGAAAGCATTCAGTAGCCCCTCAGCCCGCCCTGCTCTGTAATTCACGTATGTGTTTACAAGCACCTCACCGTCAGACGAAGCCCCCCCACACAAAGCAAAGGCAGGGCTTGACATGTGTGAGTCAGAGGCCGTGTCTGTGGTGTCGGGTTTGGCTGTGGTGTCGGGTAGGCTGTGGTGTCGGGTTGGCTGTGGTGTCGGGGTTGGCTGTGGTGTCGGGTTGGCTGTGGTGTCGGGTTGGCTGTGGTGTCGGGTTGGCTGTGGTGTCGGGTTGGCTGTGCGTGTGGGGTTGGCGTGGTTAGGGTGGATGTGGTGTAGGGTTGGCTGTGGTTGTCGGTTTGGATTGTGGGGTGGTAGCGGGGTTGGATGTGGTGTCGGGTGGATTTTGGGTGTGGGTTTGGATGTGGTGTAGGGTTGGATGTGGTTGTCGGGTTGTTGTGGTGTAGGGTGGCTGTGGGGTAGGGTTGGTATGTGGTGCGGTTGGCTGTGGTGTCGGGTTGGCTGTGGTGTCGGGTTGGCTGTGGTGTCGGGTTGGCTGTGGTGTCGGGTTGGCTGTGGTGTGATGGTGTGCAACATTACAATTAGGCACAGAACCAAATAATTTTTATGTCTTTATAAAATAATTTCCTCCAGGGCTCGAAATTAAGGGCGTCCCGTTGTCCCTCGGATGATAAAAAAATATGTCTACGGTTCAAAACAGAATCTGGGAAAGTTCTGGGATGACAGATTTTCAAAACTCATACAACCATTCATACAAAAAAGGTTTAAAAAAAAAGCTATGAGGCTGATGCAACAGATCAGACCGTTTAGCTTAAAATGTTGATAGTTGTATTTCTTCATATTATAAACTCAACAATGAGCACATGGCTGAAGGCTATTACAGGCCTACACGCGAATGTTCCAAAATGCAATTAGCGGGAAAACACCATTCTCAAAAGAGCACCACCTACGCCAGCGGTTTCACGTGCCAGATATAGCAACAACCTATGATGGCCCTTACGGAAGAAAACACATGAATTTCACGTGATCACATGTGAAGTGTTCCAAAAACACATTTTCACATGATTGTCCTCATGTGAAATCATGTGGCTTTTCTGTAAGGGGGGTTACTAATAATATATTATGTCTAGGATTATGCCTTTGGCTGTCACGACTTCGGCCGAGGCTGCCTCCCCTCCTTGTTCGGGCAGGCTTCGGCGTTCGTCGTCACCGGAGTACTAACCACTGCCGCCCCAATCAACATCACAATTGTCTTGTCTCGTTATCACACACACCTGGTTCTAATCCCCTCATTAGTCCGTGTATAAGTGTTCCCTCTGCCCACTTGTCCTTGTGGGGTGATTGTTTATTGTGAAGGTTAGTGGAGCTCATGTATTTTGTATCGACGGGAGTATTTTCCTGTGTGCCTTGTATTTTACAGTGCACCTGTTTTGTGCCCTGGAGTGTGTTTGACGCAGTTCTGCGTAAACCTGTATTTTGTGGATTAAATCCTGTTATTCTGTAATATCCCTCCTGCGCCTGACTCCTTCATCACCACCTCATCACATTGGCTGCTGGACAATAAAATAACATTGATTTGAAAACCATTAGAACATGAGAAAAATGCTGGTTTTCAATGGCATATTAAGATTAAGTGGTTATAAGATAATTCCCTCAACATTTCTATGGTTGTATTTTGGCCAGGCTAGCCTATTTTGGAACAAGATAAGACATGCTTCATAAAAGGACATAAAACATCCAGGTTTTAAATCATTAAGTTGATGGTTAAATAGTTTCCGAATTCTGACCGCCTCCTCTCAGATTCAAGGTGGGTGATGTGCGGTGCTCAACAGGCACTGTCCTTCACTCTCTGGTCTTGTGACCATTTGATCTGAACAAACTGTGCGTCGAGTACTGTATGTCGACAGAATCAAGCCTTTAGACGCTAATGTTGTCAAACACAACTGGTGTTTAACCTATATTTATGTAATTAAAAGTCTCATTAAAGTTTGGCTACATTTTTATGTGTCCTGGACAAGAGGACAAGCGTTAATGTCGAGCTCTGAAAGGGCCTCATGAATGAAGGGCACTTCAGGAATAAATCGGGCGTTGAAATGAAAATTACCTTGGTGACCTAATTTCTGCCTCTATTTATCTATGCATGTGTATGGGTATGGGCGGCAGGTAGCTTAGTGGTTAAGAGCGTTGTGCCAGTAACCGAAAGGTCGCCGGTTCTAATCCCCGAGCCGACTAGGTGAAAAAATCTGTCGATGTGCTCTGGATAAGAGTGTCTGCTAAATGACGTAAATGTATAATGTAGCAGATGTGAAATCCCTACATAGGGACCTTGGTTATAGCTCAGCTTGGACAGACAGGGAAGGAAGAATACTGTTACATCAACAACATTTCCAAGCTTTCACACAATTAATCTATGGATTGGTACTGTAGAATCTAGATGCACAACGTAAAAGCTTTTTGTTTGGTTGAGTGTACCTGTCGATAAAAGTCCGTGTTTTAAGAAAACGTTCCTCTCCATGTTCTCTCCCCAGCCTCCTCCTGCTCTGTGGCCCCAGTAGGAGCCAATAAGAATGCCAGTGACGGTGGGGTCGGAGGTCAGCTCCAGGAGGCGGGCCCCCCAGCACGGTTCTTCATCGGGGTCTCCCTGGTCCTAGGGTTCACCCTCATGTTCCTGGTGGACCAGATCTGTAGCTACTACTCCATACTTGGTCAGTTATGCTCCGGGGTGAAGACCTAGCCCCTCCCTCTATTAGCATTAGCCTGTCCTATTGAAACCCACTTTGATGATGCTAACTTCCCTAGCGTTAATTGGGCTAGTATTTATTTATTTTAATTTAATTTTACCTTTATTTAACTAGGCAAGTCGGTTAAAAACAAATTCTTATTTACAATGACGGCCTATCATTAGACTCATTGAAAACCTGCTCCAGGGTGAAGTTTCCCCTATGTACAGATCTAGGACCAGCTTTCTCTCCCCCAATCCTACCTTAAACCATGAGTGGGAAAAAAATGCTAAACTTATCCAAAATCAGCGTCTAGGGGCAACTTCACCCCCCCCCCCTCCGATGAGTTACTACTTCCTGTACTGTAGCATCATATCTCCAGCTTGCTCCATGCAGGATCAGTTAGACCATGTGAACAAGGAAAACCCTGCGGCCGCTTCCTTAGGTTTGTGGTGCGTTGTCGTGACATTTTTACATTTTAGTCATTTAGCAGACGCTCTTATTCCAGAGCGACTTACAGGAGCAATTAGGGTTAAGTGCCTTGCTCAGGGACACGTCGACAGATTTTTCACCTAGTCGGCTTGAGGATTAGAACCAGCGACCTTTCGGTTACTGGCACTACGCTCTTAACCACTAAGCTACCTGTCGTGACCAAAAGTAATCTGTTATAAAGAAGACAAGGAAGGTCTGCACTCAATAAAAAACAGATTTAAAAAGAGGAAAATGTACTCCATATTTTCAGGACAAGTTACTTCTTATAGCATAATTCTCTAGACTGGTCCCAGATCTGTTTGTGCTGTGTTGCATAGCCAACTCCTATGGTCCATTGTTTGGCATGACAATGACCATACAAGTTGGCAAGAATGATCTGGGAGCACCAGGTCATACATTCTCCATGTTTCACTCCTCTCCAAACCTCCTCTCCAAACCTCTCTCCAAACCTCTTCAGACCTCACCAAACCTCTCCAAACCACCTCTCCAAACCTCGCCAAACCTTCATCCAAACCTTCATCCAAACCTCTTCAAACCTCACTAAACCTCTCCAAACCTCCTCACCAAATCTCCTCTCCAAACCTCCTCTCCAAACCACCTCTCCAAACCTCGCCAAACCTTCATCCAAACCTCTTCAAACCTCACTAAACCTCTCCAAACCTCCTCTCCAAATCTCCTCTCCAAACCTTTGTCATTCTGCTACCATTCAGCAAGTCCACAAAGCTCATGTTGCTAACAGTTGATTGTGTTGTTATTCTAGATCCACGGACTGGAATGTCCAACAGGACCAGCATCACAGCTACACTAGGACTGGTCTTCCATGCTGCTGGTAGGTAACACACACACACATACTACACACACACACACACACACACACACACACACACACACACACACACACACACACACACACCACACACACACACACACACACACACACACACACACACACACACACACACACACACACACATACTACACACACACACACACACACACACACACATACTACACACACACACACACACACACACCACACATACTACACACACACACACACCACACACACACACACACATACTACACACACACCACACACACACCCACACACATACTACACACCACACACACCCACACACACACACACACACACCACACACACACACACACACACACACACACACACTACACACACACACACACACTACACACACACACACCAAGTTAAATCAATTTTGAGGTTGGTGTTGGGTCCAGAAGAGATGAAATGCTTCATTGCCTCTGGGTTGTGTTGTTGACTCCTCTGTATCATTTTACAAGCCAATGAAATTCACAACCCAGAAGTCTTTGAGCAGTTCTTAACGTCCTCTCGTGAAGCATGCTGGGATCTCTTAATGCTCAGAGACTTTGACATATTTCAAAGGCCTACACATACTGTCTTACTAATGGACTGTAGGCCTACACATACTGTCTTACTAATGGACTGTAGACCTACACATACTGTCTTATTAATGGACTGTAGACCTACACATACTGTCTTATTAATGGACTGTAGGCCTACACATATTAATAAAAGAGGAACTCATTAGTAGCTCTTCATATTAATAAGAGGAACTCATTAGTAGCTCTTCATATTAATAAGAGGAACTCATTAGTAGCTCTTCATATTAATAAGAGGAACTCATTAGTAGCTCTTCATATTAATAAGAGGAACTCATTAGTAGCTCTTCATATTAATAAGAGGAACTCATTAGTAGCTCTTCATATTAATAAGAGGAACTCATTAGTAGCTCTTCATATTAATAAAATAGGAACTCATTAGTAGCTCTACAGGTTAATAAAAGAGGAACTCATTAGTAGCTCTTCAGGTTAATAAAAGAGGAACTCATTAGTAGCTCTTCATGTTAATAAAATAGTAATTCATTAGTAGCTCTTCATATATTCTGTTTTCAACTAAGTGTGTGAGAGTAAGCAAAGTATCAACTACATGTACAGTAGTGTAGTGTGTGTGTGTGTGTAGTGTGTGTGTGTGTGTGTGTGTGTGTGTGTGTGTTGTAATGATATTGTCTCTCTCTCCCCAGCTGACGGTGTGGCTTTAGGTACGGCTGTGGCTTCCTCCCAGGTCACAGTTCAACTAGTGGTCTTTCTAGCTGTCATACTGCACAAGGTGAGAGTCCACTAGATTAACCAGCTTCTACTAGGAAGTTACATCACAATATTAGACAACAGGACAGCTTCTACTAGGAAGTTACATCACAATATTGGACAACAGGACAGCTTCTACTAGGAAGTTACATCACAATATTGGACAACAGGACAGCTTCTACTAGGAAGTTACATCACAATATTGGACAACAGGACAGCTTCTACTAGGAAGTTACATCACAATATTGGACAACAGGACAGCTTCTACTAGGAAGTTACATCACAATATTGGACAACAGGACAGCTTCTACTAGGAAGTTACATCACAATATTGGACAACAGGACAGCTTCTACTAGGAAGTTACATCACAATATTGGACAACAGGACAGCTTCTACTAGGAAGTTACATCACAATATTAGACAACAGGACAGCTTCTACTAGGAAGTTACATCACAATATTGGACAACGGGACAGCTTCTACTAGGAAGTTACATCACAATAAGACATCTTGATTGTTCTGACTCCTCAAGCCCTCTCTCAGTTCAATGTACTCTCTCCTTCCCATCTCCTTCCTCTCCATATTTGATCTAACATTCTCTCTCTCTCTCTCTCTCTCTCTCTCTCTCTCTCTCTCTCTCTCTCTCTCTCCCTCCCCCTCCCCCTCCCCCCCCCCCCCCCCCCCTCCCCCCCCCCCTCCCTCCCTCCCTCCCTCCCTCCCTCCCTCCCTCCCTCCCCCCCCCCCCCTCACCCTCCCTCCCTCCCCCTCGCTCCCTCAGGCTCCTGCAGCGTTTGGCCTGGTCACCTTTCTGATGCGCGCAGGTTTAGAGAAGAAGCAGATTCAGAAGCAGCTATTGGCCTTCTCTGCTGCAGCACCTGTACTCTCCATCAGTACATACTTTATCCTGAACGCGGTGAGAAGAGGCAACAAACTGCTGTTTAGTGACTCAGAACAATGTTCTATCATAATGAGAACAACTGGGATTTTTCTAATGGGAACCCTTTATAGGCATTAAAGTAGTAAATTATTGAAGATTGTTAGAGTGGTGAACTTAGCCTGGTTCTGAGAATCAATTGTGCAGTCTTGCCAATAGCTGACCATAGTAGTTGGTAAGACAGCACAAAAAAAGCTATGGGACCAGGCTAGGGGGAACTAGTTCAACACTGAAAGTTATTTGATAACGTTGACATGATGTCAGTGTGTTGTGTTTTTCCCTCCTACTGCAGAGTGGTGGATCGTCCCAGCACCGTCTGAGCGCAACAGGTGTTGGGATGCTCTTCTCAGCCGGAACGTTCCTCTACGTAGCTACGGTACATGTACTACCAGAGGTCAGCTCCAGAGGGCAGCAGCAGAGCTCTCCCCACCTCCACCTCCACGGGACTGGGACCGGGCAGCAGGGGGGCCTGGGGGTCCTGGAGAGCCTCACACTGATACTGGGAGCAGGGCTGCCTGTGTTACTGACCCTGGGACTACATGATGACTAGTCTTGTGAATCGATGCTATCCTACCAAGTCTCCTTCATCATCACTCAAGGAACATTGGGAATGGAATGTGAGGAAGCCTGGAAATCAAGGCTACCCTACGACTGACAAGTTAACGTACAGAAGACACCACAATATGTTACCAAACCAAGCACACATTAATTTACACTGGAGTACACCTGAACTCGTACATACAGCACACATTCATTTACACTGGAGTACACCTGAACTCGTACATACGTAGAGATCATTGGGGGTGTTTCTGTGCCAGATGCAGTATGTATCAGTGTCCTTCTCAGAGAGATCATAAGGAAATTGGGTTTGAGCATAATATCTGTGGGATCAGAGCGAGAGTGGTGTGTGTGTGTGTGTGTGTGTGTGTGCGTGCGTGCGTGCGTGCGTGCGTGCGTGCGTGCGTGCGTGCGTGCGTCAGAGACTCGTGTACTTGTGTAGAGCTTTTGAAATTGTTTGTCTTGCCTAGTCCGATCTCAGTGGGACATTCTTTTGAGCTAAACTATTGAGTTTGTCTGAAAGGGCAAGAACATTTCCTGTAAGTGGATCATTTCAAAGGAACTGTTTCCTCATATTTGGCCTTTGTGCCTCTACTGAACAAACAAAATCTATTTTTTTTTTTACATTAGCCGAAATCCAAACCAGATAAGATTTTAATCAAAAGGATAACATTGTCTTTTGTCATTTCTAATACAGGTTTTGGCTGGGGTACGTTAGGGACTAAAATATTCAGGGCAGGTTGTGAAAAGCCATCTTTATAAGCATTGAATGGTTGCCATAACACTGACGGGCCCTAAATGAACCACAGTGATGATTATTGATTTCTTAATTTTGTATTGGATGTGATGGTCTTTTTAGATAGCTAATAATGATGGTGGACCTTCCAAACGGACCATATTTCTACATTGTGTTCTATAGCCAGGACAATGTTGTCTGTGTACCAGCCTGTTAAGCTAGCATTCCACTCCTTGCCAAATCTGTCACATGCTAAACATCTTTGGCATATGACACGGAGTACCATGAGTGGAATGTTTCCAGACTGGTACCCAGGCTAAGGATGGTATCATCTAAACGATGGTACCCAGGCTAAGAATGTTATCATCTAAACAGACTGGTACCCAGGCTAGAGAATGTTATCATCTAAACAGACTGGTACCCAGGCTAGAGGAATGTTATCATCTAAACAACTGGAACCCAGGCAGAGGAATGTTTCATCTAAACAGACTGGTACCCAGGCTAGAGGAATGTTCATCATCCTAAACAGACTGGTACCCAGGCTAGAGGAATGTTATCATCTAAACAGACTGGTACCCCAGGCTAGAGGAATGTTATATCTAAACAGACTGGTACCCAGCTAGAGGAATGTTACATCTAACAGACTGGTCCCAGGCTAGAGAATGTTATCATCTAACAGCTGTACCCAGGCTAGAGGAATTCATCTAAACAACTGGTACCCAGGCTAGAGGAATTTATCACTAACGACTGGTACAGGCTAGAGGATGTATCATCTAACAGACTGGTCCCAGCTAGAGGAATGTTATCATCTAAACAGACTGGTACCCAGGCTAGAGGAATGTTATCATCTAAACAGACTGGTACCCAGGCTAGAGGAATGTTATCATCTAAACAGACTGGAACCCAGGCTAGAGGAATGGGATCATCTAAACAGACTGGTACCCAGACTAGAGGAATGTTATCATCTAAACAGACTGGTACCCAGGCTAGAGGAATGGTATCATCTAAACAGACTGGTACCCAGGCTAGAGGAATGTTATCATCTAAACAGACTGGTACCCAGGCTAGAGGAATGTTATCTAAACAGACTGGTACCCAGGCTAGAGGAATGTTATCATCTAAACAGACTGGTACCCAGGCTAGAGGAATGTTATCATCTAAACAGACTGGTACCCAGGCTAGAGGAATGTTATCATCTAAACAGACTGGTACCCAGGCTAGAGGAATGTTATCATCTAAACAGACTGGTACCCAGGCTAGAGGAATGTTATCATCTAAACAGACTGGTACCCAGGCTAGAGGAATGTTATCATCTAAACAGACTGGTACCCAGGCTAGAGGAATGTTATCATCTAAACACACTGGTACCCAGGCTAGAGGAATGTTATCATCTAAACAGACTGGTACCCAGACTAGAGGAATGTTATCATCTAAACAGACTGGTACCCAGGCTAAGGAAAATGTCCCATATTTTGTAATAATACTTTATCATAACAATCCCTGAAAATGTAAATTGCAAATAAAGCTAGATTTTTTTTGAATGTGTTTCTATTCCAATGTCAGATGTTGATGTCACCTTCTGTTGCCGACAGCTTGTGATGTCACAGGAGGTCAGGGCCAATCCCGTGTCACAGTATTGTTACAAAGAGGTTCCACACTAATAGGACCACTCAGCATTAGAGCAGTACTGTAACTGGACGGCAGAGATGACATTTACAAAGTAAAGCTTTATTAAAAAGATGTAACAAAATACATTTTCATGATCTAGTTGTTGCAAAACATCACTAGATAAATACTGGAATAAAGTGTTTAAAAAACAGCCCTTTCCTGAGTAACTATACAACAGCAAAACAAAGTGTCTGTTTTGTCACTTTAATAAATACAAAATCTATATCATCTGAAAAATGATCTGAAACAAAAATATCCCCTTCAAACTACAGTATAAATACAGTATAAATACAGTAAACATGTCAAACTACAGTGTAACTACAATATAAATACAGTAAACATGTCAAACTACAGTATAAATATAGTATAAATACAGTAAACATGTCAAACTACAGTATAACTACAGTAGAAATACATTAAACATGTCAAACTACAGTATAACTACAGTATAAATACAGTAAACATGTCAAACTACAGTATAAATACAGTAAACATGTCAAACTACAGTATAACTACAGTACAAATACAGTAAACATGTCAAACTACAGTATAACTACAGTATAACTACAGTAGAAATATAGTAAACATGTCAAACTACAGTATAACTACAGTATAAATACAGTAAACATGTCAAACTACAGTATAACTACAGTAGAAATATAGTATACATGTCAAACTACAGTATAATACAGTAATAAATACATAAACATGTCAAACTACAGTATAACTACAGTTAAATACAGTAAACATGTCAAACTACAGTATAACTACAGTATAAATACAGTAAACATGTCAAACTACAGTATAACTACAGTAGAAATACAGTAAACATGTCAAACTACAGTATAACTACAGTATAAATACAGTAAACATGTCAAACTACAGTATAACTACAGTATAAATACAGTAAACATGTCAAACTACAGTATAACTACAGTAAAATCAGTAAACATGTAAACTACAGTATAATACAGTAGAAATATAGTAAACATGTCAAAACTACAGTATAACTACAGTATAAATACAGTAAACATGTCAAACTACAGTATAACTACAGTAGAAATATAGTATACATGTCAAACTACAGTATATAGTGGGGGGAAAAAGTATTTAGTCAGCCACCAATTGTGCAAGTTCTCCCACTTAAAAAGATGATAGAGGCCTGTAATTTTCATCATAGGTACACGTCAACTATGACAGACAAAATGAGGAAAATACAGCACACATTCATTTACACTGGAGTACACCTGAACTCGTACATACGTAGAGATCATTGGGGGTGTTTCTGTGCCAGATGCAGTATGTATCAGTGTCCTTCTCAGAGAGATCATAAGGAAATTGGGTTTGAGCATAATATCTGTGGGATCAGAGCGAGAGTGGTGTGTGTGTGTGTGTGTGTGTGTGTGCGTGTGTGCGTGCGTGCGTGCGTGCGTGCGTGCGTGCGTGTGCGTGTCAGAGACTCATGTACTTGTGTAGAGCTTTTGAAATTGTTTGTCTTGCCTAGTCCGATCTCAGTGGGACATTCTTTTGAGCTAAACTATTGAGTTTGTCTGAAAGGGCAAGAACATTTCCTGTAAGTGGATCATTTCAAAGGAACTTTCCTCATATTTGGCCTTTGTGCCTCTACTAAACAAACAAAATATTTTTTTTACATTAGCCGAAATCCAAACCAGATAAGATTTTAATCAAAAGGATAACATTGTCTTTTGTCATTTCTAATACAGGTTTTGGCTGGTGTACGTTAGGGACTAAAATATTCAGGGCAGGTTGTGAAAAGCCATCTTTATAAGCATTGAATTTACATTTTAGTCATTTAGCAGACGCTCTTATCCAGAGCGACTTACAGAAGCAATTAGGGTTAAGTGCCTTGCTCAAGGGCACATCGACAGATTTTTCACCTAGTTGGCTCGGGGATTAGAACCAGCGACCTTTCGGTTACTGGCACAACGCTCTTACCCACTAAGCTACCTGCCACCCTGAATGGTTGCCATAACACTGACGGGGCCTAAATGAACCACAGTGATGATTATTGATTTCTTAATTTTGTATTGGATGTGATGGTCTTTTTAGATAGCTAATAATGATGGTGGACCTTCCAAACGGACCATATTTCTACATTGTGTTCTATAGCCAGGACAATGTTGTCTGTGTACCAGCCTGTTAAGCTGGCATTCCACTCCTTGCCAAATCTGTCACATGCTAAACATCTTTGGCATATGACACGGAGTACCATGAGTGGAATGTTATCCAGACTGGTACCCAGGCTAGAGGAATGTTATCATCTAAACAGACTGGTACCCAGGCTAGAGGAATGTTATCATCTAAACAGACTGGTACCCAGGCTAGAGGAATGTTATCATCTAAACAGACTGGTACCCAGGCTAAGGAAAATGTCCCATATTTTGTATTAATACTTTATCATAACAATCCCTGAAAATGTAAATTGCAAATAAAGCTAGATTTTTTTTGAATGTGTTTCTATTCCAATGTCAGATGTTGCTGTCACCTTCTGTTGCTGACAGCTTGTGATGTCACAGGAGGTCAGGGACAATACCGTGTCACAGTATTGTTACAAAGAGGTTCCACACTAATAGGACCACTCAGCATTAGAGCAGTACTGTAACTGGACGGCAGAGATGACATTTACAAAGTAAAGCTTTATTAAAAAGATGTAACAAAATACATTTTCATGATCTAGTTGTTGCAAAACATCACTAGATAAATACTGGAATAAAGTGTTTAAAAAACAGCCCTTTCCTGAGTAACTATACAACAGCAAAACAAAGTGTCTGTTTTGTCACTTTAATAAATACAAAATCTATATCATCTGAAAAATGATCTGAAACAAAAATATCCCCTTCAAACTACAGTATAAATACAGTATAAATACAGTAAACATGTCAAACTACAGTGTAACTACTAATAGGACCACTCAGCATTAAAGCAGTACTAATAGGACCACTCAGCATTAGAGCAGTACTAATAGGACCACTCAGCATTAGAGCAGTACTAATAGGACCACTCAGCATTAGAGCAGTACTAATAGGACCACTCAGCATTAGAGCAGTACTAATAGGACCACTCAGCATTAGAGCAGTACTAATAGGACCACTCAGCATTAGAGCAGTACTAATAGGACCACTCAGCATTAGAGCAGTACTAATAGGACCACTCAGCATTAGAGCAGTACTAATAGGACCACTCAGCATTAGAGCAGTACTGTAACTGGACGGCAGAGATGACATTTACAAAGTAAAGCTTTATTAAAAAGATGTAACAAAATACATTTTCATGATCTAGATGTTGCAAAACATCACTAGATAAATACTGGAATAAAGTGTATAAAAACGCCCTTTCCTGAGCAACTATACAACAGCAAAACAAAGTGTCTGTTTTGTCACTTTAATAAATACAAAATCTATATCATCTGAAAAATTATCTGAAACAAAAATATCCCATTCAAACTACAGTATAAATACAGTAAACATGTCAAACTACAGTATAACTACAGTATAAATACAGTATACATGTCAAACTACAGTATAACTACAGTATAAATACAGTAAACATGTCAAACTACAGTATAACTACAGTATAAATACAGTAAACATGTCAAACTACAGTATAACTACAGTAGAAATACAGTAAACATGTCAAACTACAGTATAACTACAGTATAAATATAGTATACATGTCAAACTACAGTATAACTACAGTATAAATACAGTAAACATGTCAAACTACAGTATAACTACAGTAGAAATACAGTATACAGTGAGTATTAAAATCATCAAATCACATTTTATTGGTCGCTTACACATACAGTGGGGAAAAAAAGTATTTAGTCAGCCACCAATTGTGCAAGTTCTCCCACTTAAAAAGATGAGAGAGGCCTGTAATTTTCATCATAGGTACACGTCAACTATGACAGACAAAATGAGAAAAAAAATCCAGAAAATCACATTGTAGGATTTTTTATGAATTTATTTGCAAATTATGGTGGAAAATAAGTATTTGGTCAATAACAAAAGTTTCTCAATACTTTGTTATATACCCTTTGTTGGCAATGACACAGGTCAAACGTTTTCTGTAAGTCTTCACAAGGTTTTCACACACTGTTGCTGGTATTTTGGCCCATTCCTCCATGCAGATCTCCTCTAGAGCAGTGATGTTTTGGGGCTGTCGCTGGGCAACACGGACTTTCAACTCCCTCCAAAGATTTTCTATGGGGTTGAGATCTGGAGACTGGCTAGGCCACTCCAGGACCTTGAAATGCTTCTTACGAAGCCACTCCTTCGTTGCCCGGGCGGTGTGTTTGGGATCATTGTCATGCTGAAAGACCCAGCCACGTTTCATCTTCAATGCCCTTGCTGATGGAAGGAGGTTTTCACTCAAAATCTCACGATACATGGCCCCATTCATTCTTTCCTTTATACGGATCAGTCGTCCTGGTCCCTTTGCAGAAAAACAGCCCCAAAGCATGATGTTTCCACCCCCATGCTTCACAGTAGGTATGGTGTTCTTTGGATGCAACTCAGCATTCTTTGTCCTCCAAACACGACGAGTTGAGTTTTTACCAAAAAGTTATATTTTGGTTTCATCTGACCATATGACATTCTCCCAATCCTCTTCTGGATCATCCAAATGCACTCTAGCAAACTTCAGACGGGCCTGGACATGTACTGGCTTAAGCAGGGGGACACGTCTGGCACTGCAGGATTTGAGTCCCTGGCGGCGTAGTGTGTTACTTTGTTCCCAGCTCTCTGCAGGTCATTCACTAGGTCCCCCCGTGTGGTTCCGGGATTTTTGCTCACTGTTCTTGTGATAATTTTGACCCCACGGGGTGAGATCTTGCGTGGAGCCCCAGATCGAGGGAGATTATCAGTGGTCTTGTATGTCTTCCATTTCCTAATAATTGCTCCCACAGTTGATTTCTTCAAACCAAGCTGCTTACCTATTGCAGATTCAGTCTTCCCAGCCTGGTGCAGGTCTACAATTTTATTTCTGGTGTCCTTTGACAGCTCTTTGGTCTTGGCCATAGTGGAGTTTGGAGTGTGACTGTTTGAGGTTGTGGACAGGTGTCTTTTATACTGATAACAAGTTCAAACAGGTGCCATTAATACAGGTAACGAGTGGAGGACAGAGGAGCCTCTTAAAGAAGAAGTTACAGGTCTGTGAGAGCCAGAAATCTTGCTTGTTTGTAGGTGACCAAATACTTATTTTCCATCATAATTTGCAAATAAATTCATTAAAAATCCTACAATGTAATTTTCAATTTGTCTGTCATAGTTGATGTGTACCTATGATGAAAATTACAGGCCTCGCTCATCTTTTTAAGTGGGAGAACTTGCACAATTGGTGGCTGACTAAATACTTTTTCCCCCCCACTGTAACTACAGTAAACATGTCAAACTACTTTAGAAATACAGTACATATTTACTCTACCATAACTATTTCTACAGACATAACAAATGATGTGCCAAGTACTAGTGACAGTAGATTTTAAGTGTGTAGTCAAATCTAGTTCCGGCCTACATTCAAGACCAGGATTGTCCTCAAGTCAAATTGATCTCAATAGTTACAGTGGGGAGAACAAGTATTTGATACACTGCCGATTTTGCATGTTTTCCTACTTACAAAGCATGTAGAGGTCTGTAATTTTTATCATAGGTACACTTCAACTGTGAGAGACGGAATCTAAAACAAAAATCCAGAAAATCACATTGTATGATTTTTAAGTAATTAATTTGCATTTTACTGCATGACATAAGTATTTGATCACCTACCAACCAGTAAGAATTCCGGCTCTCACAGACCTGTTAGTTTTTCTTTAAGAAGCCCTCCTGTTCTCCACTCATTACCTGTATTAACTGCACCTGTTTGAACTCGTTACCTGTATAAAAGACACCTGTCCACACACTCAATCAAACAGACTCCAACCTCTCCACAATGGCCAAGACCAGAGAGCTGTGTAATGACATATGGGATAAAATTGTAGACCTGCACAAGGCTGGGGTGGTCTACAGGACAATAGGCAAGCAGCTTGGTGAGAAGGCAACAACTGTAGGCGCAATTATTAGAAAATGGAAGAAGTTCAAGATGACGTCAATCACCCTCGGTCTGGGGCTCCACGCAAGATCTCACCTCGTGGGGCATCAATGATCATGAGGAAGGTGAGGGATCAGCCCAGAACTACACGGCAAGACCTGGTCAATGACCTGAAGAGAGCTGGGACCACAGTCTCAAAGAAAACCATTAGTAACACACTACACCGTCATGGATTAAAATCCTGCAGCGCACGCAAGGTCCCCCTGCTCAAGCCAGCGCATGTCCAGGCCTGTCTGAAGTTTGCCAATGACCATCTGGATGATCCAGAGGAGGAATGGGAGAAGGCCATGTGGTCTGTTGAGACAAAAATAGAGCTTTTTGGTCTAAACTCCACTCGCCGTGTTTGGAGGAAGAAGAAGGATGAGTACAACCCCAAGAACACCATCCCAACCGTGAAGCATGGAGGTGGAAACATCATTCTTTGGGGATGCTGTTCTGCAAAGGGGACAGGACGACTGCACCGTATTGAGGGGAGGATGGATGGGGCCATGTATCGCGAGATCTTGGCCAATAACCTCCTTCCCTCAGTAAGAGCATTGAAGATGGGTCGTGGCTGGGTCTTCCAGCATGACAACGACCCAAAACACACAGCCAGGGCAACTAAGGACTGGCTCCGTAAGAAGCATCTCAAGGTCCTGGAGTGGCCTAGCCAGTCTCCAGACCTGAACCCAATAGAAAATCTTTGGCGGGAGCTGAAAGTCCGTATTGTCCAGCGACAGCCCTGAAACCTGAAGGATCTGGAGAAGGTCTGTATGGAGGAGTGGGACAAAATCCCTGCTGCAGTGTGTGCAAACCTGGTCAAGACCTACAGGAAATGTATGATCTCTGTAATTGCAAACAAAGGTTTCTGTACCAAATATTAAGTTCTGCTTTTCTGATGTATCAAATACTTATGTCATGCAATAAAATGCAAATTAATTACTTAAAAATCATACAATGTGATTTTCTGGATTTTTGTTTTAGATTCCGTCTCTCACAGTTGAAGTGTACCTATGATAAAAATGACAGACCTCTACATGCTTTGTAAGTAGGAAAACCTGCAAAATCGGCAGTGTATCAAATACTTGTTCTCCCCACTGTACCTAAAATACTCTAAGCTAATTCTTCCCTCACACAGCAATCCAAACTCTTTGTCTGATGAATAATACTTCAATAGATCTATTGTTTTAGTAGTATCACCACATATTTACTTGTCACTGGAAGAATGACAAGAATTACAGGTATTAACAAAACAAACATGAACGTAGCAAAGCCGCCCGCACAGGCCATTTACAAACACAGCAGGACTGGGCCCTATAGCAGGACTGGGCCCTATAGCAGGACTGGGCCCTATAGCAGGACTGGGCCCTATCACTTCGTACTCGTCTCTTAGTATTTGTGTGTAACAGGACAGATGCGTGTTCATATTTTGACACGGCCCAGCAGGGAGGCAGCTAGCTGAGCCTGCAGAGCCATCTGGTCGAAGGTCCTGCGGTGCGTCACCTCCCTCACCTTCTCCCTCATATGGAAGGAGGCGCGAGCCACCCTACGAGCCTCCTCCTGCACCTCCTCTCTCTGCCTCTGCAGACGCTCCCGCCGACGCTCCTAAGAATCAAACTTTATTTTATGTGCATTTAAAATCGCTGCAACACACTTTACAGTGAAATAAAACAGTGTTACTGTCCCAAATGGCACCCTATTCCCTATATAGTACACTACTACTGACCAGGACTGCTGAAAGAAGATAGGAGGTGTGTGCATCCTATATCCTAACACCGCACACACACCCCCTAACACCACACACACCCCCCCTAACACCGCACACACACACCCCCTACACACGCACACACACCCCCTAACACCGCACACACACCACCTAACACCGCACACACACCCCCTAACACCGCACACACCCACCCTAACACCGCACATCCCCCCCTAACACCACACACACACCCTAACACCGCACATCCCCCCCTAACACCACACACACACCCTAACACCGCACACACCCCCCTACACATCCTAACACCACACACACACACCTCCTAACACCACACACACACACACCTCCTAACCACCCACACCCCCCCCTACCACACCACCACCCAACCACCACCCCACACCCACCTACCACCCCCACCCCCCCCACCCCACCACCCACACCCCCCCCCACCCACCCCCCCACCCACCCCCAACCTACACCACAACCCACACACACACCCCAACCCCCCTACCCACCCCCCCTACACCCTCCAGCCCTCAACACCCCACCCCTCCCCCCCTCCCCCCACACCCCCCTACACCCCACCCCACCCTAACACCACACAACCCACCTACACCACACACCCCTACACCACACCACTCCCTACACCCCCATACCCCCCTACACCACACCCACCACACACACTCACCCCACACCTAACACTCACACCACACCCTACCTCCCACACCCCCACCCACCCCACCCCCTCCCACCCACAAACCCCCTCTCATAACCCCAAATCAAGAGGCATTCTCTCAGCTGCCTCTCGGTCTCCTCCTCTCTCTGTACCCTGTCTAGGAGGCGCTGGTGGCAGAGGAGTCTCTCCATGTTTTCCTGCTGTGCCCGCTGTGCCCTGCTCCTCCTCTGGGTGTGAGCGTGTTGGCTTGCCTGCTCCATACGATGCTGACTCAACTGGGCCAGTATCTAGACAAATACAATAGAATATAACTTTATTGTTCAATGTGAGTTGCACATTTGGTTAGGGGTTAAGTTCCTTGCCCAAGGGCACAACGGCATCAGGTGGCACCTGAGATTCTAATGCCAGCAACCCTCCAGTTGCCGGCTTATTCCGGTCAGATTTTCCCCGGATCACTGGGATTCGAACCGGCAACCCTCTGATTGCTGTCTGGCTTGCTCCTATAACACCCCCCTCCTCCCCTCAATCTCTCTGCCAAATGTAAAGGTGTCCCCTTAAATTGAGGAAATGTGATCATAATTATTATTTTAGCGATCCACACTGGACAGGCTAGTTAAGGTTAGACGTCCCTCCCCTAATGAAAAGGCCCCATCCTGCTGAGGTGAGATGCTGGACAGGCTAGTAAAGGTGAGATGCTGGACAGGCTAGTAAAGGTGAGATGCTGGACAGGCTAGTAAAGGTGAGCTGCTGGACAGGCTAGTAAAGGTAGCTGCTGGACAGGCTAGTCAAAGGTGAGCTGCTGGACAGGCTAGTAAAGGTGAGCTGCTGGACAGGCTAGTAAAGGTGAGCTGTGGACAGGCTAGTAAAGGTGAGCTGCTGGACAGGCTAGTAAAGGTGAGCTGCTGGGACAGGCTAGTAAAGGTGAGATGCTGGACAGGCTAGTAAAGGTGAGATGCTGGACAGGCCTAGTAAAGGTGAGATTGCTGGACAGGCTAGTAAAGGTGAGCTGCTGGACAGGCTAGTAAAGGTGAGGTGGACAGGCTAGTAAAGGTGAGATGCTGGACAGGCTAGTAAAGGTGAGATGCTGGACAGGCTAGTAAAGGTGAGATGCTGGACAGGCTAGTAAAGGTGAGCTGCTGGACAGGCTAGTAAAGGTGAGCTGCTGGACAGGCTAGTAAAGGTGAGCTGCTGGACAGGCTAGTAAAGGTGAGATGCTGGACAGGCTAGTAAAGGTGAGATGCTGGACAGGCTAGTAAAGGTGAGCTGCTGGACAGGCTAGTAAAGGTGAGATGCTGGACAGGCTAGTAAAGGTGAGATGCTGGACAGGCTAGTAAAGGTGAGCTGCTGGACAGGCTAGTAAAGGTGAGATGCTGGACAGGCTAGTAAAGGTGAGATGCTGGACAGGCTAGTAAAGGTGAGATGCTGGACAGGCTAGTAAAGGTGAGATGCTGGACAGGCTAGTAAAGGTGAGATGCTGGACAGGCTAGTAAAGGTGAGATGCTGGACAGGCTAGTAAAGGTGAGATGCTGGACAGGCTAGTAAAGGTGAGATGCTGGACAGGCTAGTAAAGGTGAGATGCTGGACAGGCTAGTAAAGGTGAGCTGCTGGACAGGCTAGTAAAGGTGAGATGCTGGACAGGCTAGTAAAGGTGAGATGCTGGACAGGCTAGTAAAGGTGAGATGCTGGACAGGCTAGTAAAGGTGAGATGCTGGACAGGCTAGTAAAGGTGAGATGCTGGACAGGCTAGTAAAGGTGAGATGCTGGACAGGCTAGTAAAGGTGAGATGCTGGACAGGCTAGTAAAGGTGAGATGCTGGACAGGCTAGTAAAGGTGAGATGCTGGACAGGCTAGTAAAGGTGAGCTGCTGGACAGGCTAGTAAAGGTGAGCTGCTGGACAGGCTAGTAAAGGTGAGATGCTGGACAGGCTAGTAAAGGTGAGATGCTGGACAGGCTAGTAAAGGTGAGATGCTGGACAGGCTAGTAAAGGTGAGCTGCTGGACAGGCTAGTAAAGGTGAGCTGCTGGACAGGCTAGTAAAGGTGAGCTGCTGGACAGGCTAGTAAAGGTGAGATGCTGGACAGGCTAGTAAAGGTGAGATGCTGGACAGGCTAGTAAAGGTGAGATGCTGGACAGGCTAGTAAAGGTGAGATGCTGGACAGGCTAGTAAAGGTGAGATGCTGGACAGGCTAGTAAAGGTGAGATGCTGGACAGGCTAGTAAAGGTGAGCTGCTGGACAGGCTAGTAAAGGTGAGATGCTGGACAGGCTAGTAAAGGTGAGATGCTGGACAGGCTAGTAAAGGTGAGATGCTGGACAGGCTAGTAAAGGTGAGATGCTGGACAGGCTAGTAAAGGTGAGATGCTGGACAGGCTAGTAAAGGTGAGATGCTGGACAGGCTAGTAAAGGTGAGCTGCTGGACAGGCTAGTAAAGGTGAGATGCTGGACAGGCTAGTAAAGGTGAGATGCTGGACAGGCTAGTAAAGGTGAGATGCTGGACAGGCTAGTAAAGGTGAGCTGCTGGACAGGCTAGTAAAGGTGAGATGCTGGACAGGCTAGTAAAGGTGAGATGCTGGACAGGCTAGTAAAGGTGAGATGCTGGACAGGCTAGTAAAGGTGAGCTGCTGGACAGGCTAGTAAAGGTGAGATGCTGGACAGGCTAGTAAAGGTGAGATGCTGGACAGGCTAGTAAAGGTGAGATGCTGGACAGGCTAGTAAAGGTGAGCTGCTGGACAGGCTAGTAAAGGTGAGAGGGAGGAATCAGAGATTCCCTGTTTTACTATCTGTTGCCTACTCAACAGCCAGGGTTTCATTAAATAGCCATAGGCATTAATATATATAGAGAGAGATATATTATTGCACATTTAATTAAAACGGACGCATTGGGCGATGTTCAACTTCAATACATTAGCATAAAACGTGCATCAGACAAAAACTTTTAGCACAGGTGCTGGACACCTAAATTCACTGTAGTAGACTGGGCCTAATATAGGCTAGCATTCAAATGGTGGATTAATAGCCCAGCCTATTAATTAACTTTAATTGACACATCTGTCTTAACGGTTCCCTTCTTGCGCAATTCATGTTTCTCGGCTGGCCTCTCGGCTGGCCTCTCGGCTGGCCTCTCTTCCATCCTCTCTCTATTCCTCTTATAGCTATTGCACCAGTAGCCTAGCCCAATGTGTGTCCCAGAAGTAGCAATATGGTTTGGTGACTTATTTTGAGCAATTAATATATAGAAAGAAGCACCTTGCTTGATGGATATAAAATAGGCTAGAGCGTTCACGATGCACTGGCTGGGAAGTTTGAATGGTGAGAGCTCCTCTGGTGTGATGCGATCACATTGGCTGGTGGTAAAAAACAAGTAAACAGGAATCCTCTGTTCTCCCTGTGCATGTTGTTTAAGTTTACAATGAAATGTATTACGTCAGAATGACCAACGCTAGACTCTTTACATTTTAGTCATTTAGCAGACGCTCTTATCCAGAGCGACTTACAGTTAGTTAGTGAGTGCATACATTTTCATACTTTACAATCAAATTTATGAATTAGGTTATCGAATCAGGATCAAATCCTCTGATCTCCTTGAGCTCATTAATGATAGAATGTTCATATTTGAAGACTGCTGAAAGGCCAGTCTCTTTGTCAATGACAAGGAGTGGCAAGGAGTGGAATGTTAGCTAAAGAGAGCGGTATTCTGGCTAGGACAGTATGCCAGGGACCGTGAAAATGTGTGTGCTCACTTTCCGGCGTTGTTTATTGCATGTATTATAGTGTATAGTTTTCCTGTATATCTGTGTGCTGTCCTCACCTCTTTGTCTCTGAGCTGCTGCTGGCTGTGCCAGGAGGCTCGTAGCTGGGCCCTGTGGATCTGTTCCTCCTCCCTGGCCGATCTCTCCTGCAGCTCCCTGAGCCGCTCCGCCACCGCCCGGGCCCTCTTCTCCCAGGAGCGCTGCAGTTTCTCCTCCAGGGCACACCTCATCAGCGCCTCCTCCTCCTCGATCCGCTGCTGTACCTCCCTCTTCAGGAGGAGGCATCTGAGATGTTCCCTCTGGTTCTCCTGCTGGAGCCTCTTCCTCTCCCTCCTCTCTCGGATCACCCTGCTCCTCCTGGCCCTCTGCTCCTTCTCCTGTGACAGCTGCACCTCCTTCTCCCTCTCTGCCTTCTCCAGACGCTCCATGTCTTTGAGCAGCTGCTCCTGGAAGCATTTGCGCTCCTCCGCTTCTCTCCTCGCCGCCTCTATCTTGTCTCTTCTCCGCACCTCCTGCTCCTCTGTGATTCTCCTCCAGCGATCCTCCTGCAGTAGGACCTCCTGCTCGCGCAGACCGGCCAACTCCTTCTCCTGGCGCTCCTTCTGCCTCCTCCGCGCCTCCAGCCCATCCTGCCACCGCTGCATGCTCTTCTCCAGCTCCTTCCTCCTCCTGCGCTCAGCCTGGACCTGTCGCACCTCCTCCTGCCTCCGGGCCTCCTCTCTCTCCTGCTCCTCCTGCTGGCTCAGCCTCAGCCTGGTCTGCTCTTCTTGGTGCTTCACCAACATCAGAGCTGCTATCTTACGGTCTTTCTCTGAGACTGTCACACTCATCTTCTTCCTGATGTCTCGAGTGAGCCTCTCCAACTGCCTTTCTATGGCCGGGGAGTGTCTGAGGTCACCAAGACTCAGGCTGGACACCATGATGTTCTTGTCAGTTGGTCTCAAGCTGTTTCTGTTTTTTTCTCTGGTGATAGCAGCAGAATAGGACCTGCCGTTGCTCACATATTTCTTTCTGGGGCTGTGATCCACAGATTGAGTTGCTCCCGTTCTCAAACCATCACAAGCGTCCTTTCTTGAGTTGATATCTTCGAGAGAGTTCCGACTTTCTATCTCGAGGACTGTTTCGAGGGCTGACAGTTTAACGGACGGTCGTCTTTCTTTCGTATTTAAGATAATCTTCTCTCTCTCTTCACGGCACAGCCGCAAAACCCCCCTCACTTCCTTTTCGTATGCCTCGTACAGAACTGTCAGTGCCTTAAACGGGATATCTGGGTTTACGTTGTCATCAACGAAATCGCTTAGAGATTTTATTAAAAGTTCAACAGGTTTGACGCCGAGTCTTGCACATGATTCCAACGACCGCGGGCTGGTTAAAACATATGTGCTGTCCTCAGCGTCTGTTGTATCAAAGTTGTCGAGGTCCAAGTGCAGCGTCGGAGACGGCGGCCTGCTTTCTCGCATGACAGCTGGCTAGAGTGCTTATGGCTACTTATCTAGCTCGCTAGCTAACGTTAGCCTTTACTCTGGACACCATAGCATTACAAACAGGCAAACCAACAAGTACCACACAAAAAATAGCAAGTAAAGTTGATATTTCTTAGCAAATGCGTTCAGCATTTCGATAGCTTACTGTCAAATACGAAGGAGAGAGTCCTTTCAAAACATTGCCTAACGGTGGAAACTTATTTTTTTGTAACCATGGCTGCAAATCCAATGAATTCTCAGGAAAAGAGGGATCTTCTTCTCAATAGATTATTTGAGCGCCCTCTATCGGCTGACGGTCCTTGGGCGGGATGACCTCAGTGACTCGGCTAGAAAACGCAATAGTTCATAATCTTGACATCTCCCATTTCTATTAGGAAATCAACGGCATTTGTTATTTCTACAATTAACGTTTTCACAGTGGACAGTCACAAGAAAACGGTTTACATTTGTGGTTTTATTAAAAAAAAAAAAGAATGGTATTTTGTCGTCATCTGGTGGTCATTTGTAGACATAAACGCAAAGGTGCATTAAGGCGTACAGCGTTGGTGTTTGGTTTGAAAATATCCGAGACGTTTGGATAATTTGACTTTAATGGGGAGGTCTGTTCTGTAGATTATATTTATTTGACTGCTGTCAATGCCTTATAGGCACCTCATATTTTTGGGGGAACTGAATACTGCCTCCTTTATAAAACAAAGTGGCCTATCACCAGCCCGGATTCACTCATGGCGGCAAAAAAAACCCCGCTGTTCCAGGTTGTCAAATGAGGGCTCTTATGGTCATGAAAATCAGGGCCGGCTCTAGCCTTTTGGGGGCCCTAAGCGAGATTTGGACAGGGGAGGGCCCCAACCAAGTCCCCCCCCCCCCCCACCTCTCTTGACGGCCTAGAGCAAATGTTGCCGTTTTATAAAAATGTTCCCAAGTCAAGCACGAGTTAATTGACATTCCTAATGCCCAACAACCTCTGTTGTGTAAGGATCTAACTTCCATTTTCGCTGTTCACCAACGTTTATGAAACGTTTCGATATTGAATGCTGCTCTGCACGTTCCCTCTGACCAAAACTTCGGTCTTCTAGCGTCGTGCACACACACACGGATCAGATAAGCTGATTGACTCCTGAGGGCTCTCAACAAAGGCTCTCCTGTGAGTATGTATGTACATTATAATATAAAGTTGATTTTCGGAAATCGAACATCTAAATGATTATGTAGTCAAAAACCCCAGCAAGTGGGTGGTTTGGAGTGACTTGAAATCGCCATAACTTCTTTCTCTGACTGCGGAAGCTAGCTAGCTACGTTAGCGGGTAACGTTGACGTCAAGTTAGGTCAAATTTGTAGCAAAACAAAAAACTACAAAGAAAACGACAAAACGGGAAAACATCAAAAATGTAAGGTCAGTGTTTTGTATTTGAATCATCATGCATAGCAATCATTTGAAGCCGTTGCCACCCGTTGAAGTGGGTCCTGTTGCAGGCATTTTCTGATGTTTAGCTATAACTGATGTTTAGCCATAACTGATGTTTAGCCACAACTGATGTTTAGCTATAACTGATGTTTAGCCATATCTGATGTTTAGCTATACCTGATGTTTAGCCATAACTGATGTTTAGCCACAACTGATGTTTAGCCACAACTGATGTTTAGCCACAACTGATGTTTAGCTACAACTGATGTTTAGCTATAACTGATGTTTAGCCATAACTGATGTTTAGCCATAACTGATGTTTAGCCATAACTGATGTTTAGCCACAACTGATGTTTAGCCACAACTGATGTTTAGCTATAACTGATGTTTAGCCATAACTGATGTTTAGCCATAACTGATGTTTAGCCATAATGGATGTTTAGCTAGCTATTTCGGAACATCTGGATAACAGTGTTGGTATCAATTCTATTTTAATTCAGTCAATTCAAGTTTGCTAACTGAAATCCCAATTCCACTTTCAAATGTCCTTTTTGAAAATCATTGAGGAAAACATTTAATTGCATTTGGAATTTCAGTTGACATCCCTGAATTGAAATTTACCTCAACCCTGCCGTATAACAAGAGGGGAGAAATCCCAAACCCAAAGCGATAAGAGGAGGGCGGACTACCAACACCAGTATCCAAGATGAGGCGAGCCAGCCGAGGAGGGGATGAGTCTGGTACCGGTACTCCCCGTCAGAACGGTGTGTCCGGGGGGAGAGGCGGTGGAAGGGGAACGGCTGCGGAGCGGGGGGATGCAGCCGCCGCCGGTGGTGATGATGAGGAGGCTGGGTGCAGCCCAGCAGACATGCAGGATGAGGACAACGATCCGGCACGGAGGAGAGAGATCAGGAGCAAGTACAGGGACCTCATCAACTCTGTTCAACGTGAGTAGTGGGGAAGAGGGTCTGCTAAATGACTAAAATGTAATGGAAATGTAATGTAGTGGTGACTGTCTGGAAATGGTATCCATGGGTCATTAGTCCCCAATTCTCCACACTTTTCACAAAGTGTGCACTTGTCTTGGATTCTCCCTGTCATTGATTTCAAAGTATTTAAACGTATTGGATTGGTATAAGCATTGGCTGGAGGGAATTACCACCATTTTTTAAATCCGTGATGGGGAGAAGGGTGGAGATTCTGTAGGCAGATGCCGGCCTGTGACAGGTTTGTGTTAAACCTCCCAGGTACCTGGACACCTGTCAATTAAAGGTCCAGTATGTAACTTTGTGGGCAACCTGACCAAATTCACATAGAAATGTGAGGTCTAGATCTGTCTTTCTCATTGAAAGCAAGTCTAATACAGCAGCTTCAAACAGCTGAAAACACTAGCTATATTTTGGTTCTATTTCACAGCGGTTTAGATTGTATAATGATTCTCTGCGGTATTTTATAATTTTTATTGGGCGAATGTGATAGAATTTTAGCAACCAGGAAATGGCGGAGCGATTTCTACATATTGTACCTTTTTAACCAATCTTTTCCTTCTCTCTTCTCCCCAGAGAACAGAGAGGACATGTTGAGTCCCACCAACAACAAACTGACAGACGTGTTGGAGGAGGCCAACAAACTCTTTGCAGAAGGTATGATAGGATCTGTCATCTACCTACCTACCTACAGTCCTTCCTTCCTACCGACATACAGTCCTTCCTACCTACCTTCCTTCCTATCTACCAACAGTCCTTCCTTCCTTCCTACCAACCTACAGTCCTTCCTTCCTACCTACCATCCTTCCTTCCTTCCTCGAAGTAACCACTGATCTAACATAGTCAGATTGGTTAGAGCTAACCCCTGCTTTAACCTATCTAGTAATGTCTGAACCAGTGATTATTCCAAGGAAGGAGGAAGGAAGTCATTTTTAAAGATGTTTTAGTATCTCAATCGAATATCCTCTCTGTCTTCTTCCTCTTCTTCCTCGCTGTCTTCTTCCTCTTCTTCCTCGCTGTCTTCTTCCTCTTCTTCCTCTCTGTCTTCTTCCTCTTCTTCCTCGCTGTCTTCTTCCTCTTCTTCCTCCCTGTCTTCTTCCTCTTCTTCCTCCCTGTCTTCTTCCTCTTCCTCCTCCCTGTCTTCTTCCTCTTCCTCCTCCCTGTCTTCTTCCTCTTCCTCCTCCCTGTCTTCTTCCTCTTCTTCCTCCCTGTCTTCTTCCTCTTCCTCCTCCCTGTCTTCTTCCTCTTCTTCCTCCCTGTCTTCTTCCTCTTCCTCCTCCCTGTCTTCTTCCTCTTCCTCCTCCCTGTCTTCCTCCTCCCTGTCTCCTTCCTCTTCTTCCTCCCTGTCTTCTTCCTCTTCCTCCTCCCTGTCTTCTTCCTCTTCCTCCTCCCTGTCTTCCTCCTCCCTGTCTCCTTCCTCCTCTTCCTCCCTATCTTCTGTTTTGTCTCCTCTCTCCCAGTCCGTCAGGCCCGTGAAGCAGCTTTAGATGCCCAGCTCCTGGTGCTGGCTACAGACCTGGGGAAGGAGAAAGCCAGCCAGCTACACGCAGAGGGATCATCCTTCGACCCCTCAGCCTTCGCTGAACACCTGGTAAGTAGGAGGAGGAGGATGGGAGAAGGGGGAGGTTGTGGAGGAGGAGGGGAGTGAGAGGTAGAGGAGGAGGGGGAGGTAGAGGAGGAGGAGGATGGGAGGAGGAGGGGGGAGAAGGAAAGGGAGGAGGCAAAGGTGAAGGCTACCGGTTGTCAGATTGCTAATCCTTTGTGTTCCCGTTGGTCCACCCAGCTGTCATTCATGGGTCTGAATCGCCTGGAGGATGAAGATGAAGATGTGGAGGGTGGAGCGAGCGGTGGCTACCTCCCCCAGGACGCCTGGCAGAGGGTGGCTAACAGAGCTCAGTGCTGCTTCAGGACTGCCCCCTCTTTCCACTACATGTAAGTGTGTGTGTGTGTGTGTGTGTGTGTGTGTGTGTGTGTGTGTGTGTGTGTGTGTGTGTGTGTGTGTGTGTTTAGAGAGCAGAGGGTAGTTAACAGAGCTCAGTGCTGCTTCAGGACTACCCCCTCCTTCAACTACAAGTGAATCAGCGTATTTGAGGGGATCAGTTTAAGCACGGCGAGGCCCAGAATTGCTAGTATTGATCACATAATAAGTAGTTTGATTTTGTAGATCAGTGATTCTGTACAGTCTTGTTTGCATGTAGTCGAACGCAAACATCATCCTCCACCTCTTTGGGATGCTTGGGTCAAAGGTGACCGCTCACCAAGTATACACAGAGAAAATGTCTAAAACTCTCTGACTGACTCTCTGTGTCTGTCTCTACCAGGATGGGATCGTTCCTGGCTGAGCTGCCTCCACCTCGCCAGAGGGTAGAGAGACAGAGGAAAGCTCCCAGCAAGGAAGCCAAGAGGATCATGCCCACCCAGGTATCCACTTTAACACTGACCCCCAACCTGACTGTCCCGGAGGAGTCACCAGATCATCCCAGCACAGCTCTGTATGGCCCAGTAGTGTGTCCCCGAGTGGCGCAGTGGTCTAAGGCTGTGCCACTAGAGATCCTGGTTCGAATCCAGGCTCTGTCGTAGCCGGCCGCGACCGGGAGACCCCATGGGGCGGCGCACAATTGGCCCAGCGTCGTCCAGGGTAGGGGAGGGAATGGCCGGCAGGGATGTAGCTCAGTTGGTAGACCATGGCGTTTGCAACGCCAGGGTTGTGGGTTCGATTCCCACGGGGGGGCCAGTATGATAAAAAAATTTTTTATAATAATAATGTATGCACTCACTAACTGTAAGTCACTCTGGATAAGAGCGTCTGCTAAATGACTAAAATGTAACCGTAAATGTGATAAGCCTTTTGGTGTTTTACATAGTTACTCTATAATAGGGCTTTGAAATGAGATCAGTTGGATCAGCCAGGACTGTGTTTAGTGTTTCTGTCCAGCTGGTGATGATGGGGAAAGCTCTCCCGGCCCTAGCTGGATAGTTCTCTACTGAAAAATAGATTTTTATGTCAACGAGACTAACCTGGTTAAATAAAGAAATCAATATTTGATGTCATTGTCTGTTCCAGTTGAAGAAGATGGAGGAGTCTCACCAGGAAGCTACAGAGAAGGAGGTAGAGAGGATTCTGGGATACCTGCGGAGCTACTTCTTTGACGACCGTAAGTCATGACTCGTCTTATTATTATAATAACATATTTATGTAGCGCTTTTCAAGGACCCCAAAGTCGCTTTACAATCGTAATAAATAAATAAATAAAACAAGACCGCAGACTAGGGGGATGGACCTTGGATCCTCTACTCCAATGTGCTTTGAGAGAAAGGGGAAGCATTGAGGAATCATGGATTTGTTGGCCAGTAACATTTTCAGGCAGAGGCCTGTGGGTGTTTACCCATAAAATGTTTATTTAATTAAATGTTTATGAACATATGTTCATTCAATAGAGAATTGCATCAGGAAAACAATAGTCCAAATCGTCTGTAACTTTCAAACCATATTTGGTAGAGACATACGGTTTGAAAGTTACCGACGATTTACTCTGAGAATCTAGCATGATTAGAGTGAATAGAATGTAATTACGGCCATGGTCAGACGTGATGGCTGCTCAATAGAACTCGGCAGGTAGCTTAGTGGGTAAGAGCGTTGTGCCAGTAACCGAAAGGTCGCTGGTTCTAATCCCCGAGCCGACTAGGTGAAAAATCTGTCGATGTGCCCTTGAGCAAGGCACTTAACCCTAATTGCTCCTGTAAGTCGCTCTGGATAAGAGCGTCTGCTAAATGACTAAAATAAAAATAAAAGAAACTGTCACTGCTCCGTGGGCAGAACGGCGCTAACTTCAAACGTCAACTAACAAGCTAGCTAGCGGCAACCGGTTTATGTGTGATAACATGGGCTTTTTCTAAATGAAATCCACGTAATACAAAACAAAATGTAGCCTAACCAGAAGAAGAAAAACCCTGTTCCCGACCCCCCTTCCTCCCACTGATGCTGGTCATAGGCTACAGTAGTGGTCGGCTACCCTTTTTTCATTTGGAGTGCCAAGTTATCGTAGCATTTCTACTGATCTGCGTATCAGTTATGATTTTCATATGCACATTTTAGTGGAACAGTTTCATTTCATTTATAATAAAGTCTTGTTATCTCAAAATTAATGTCGTGTGGTTAATCAAAACTCTTTATCTAAATGATACAAACCTAAAAAGTAACTTCTATTGCCATTGTTAACTATGTAAAAAAAAATAGCCTACAGGTCCTAATCCAGGCACTTGTCCTCTCTCCCGTCTGGACTACTGCAACTCACTGTTGGCTGGGCTCCCCGCTTGTGCCTTCAAACCCCTGAAACTTATGCAGAACGCCGCAGCCCGCCTGGTCCTCGACCCCTCCCCCCAAATAAAATAAAATAAATTAAAAATAACACTTAACCAGCACTTGCACTTTCTGTGCCCTCCAAGTCACCCGCTCCGGACAGACACAGCTGTAGGCTATTTGAAGTATTCTATGCCGTCTCCCCCAGATCAGAGCATTACATTTTTCCCCCCTTTCATGTGTCCACTCCTACAATGACAACGGTAAGACTGGAATAATAATATATTGAATGCATTAACAGAAATGAGCGTAACCAAACAAACATAGTAGATTAGACATTATGGGAATTAATGTAAATGTACTACTGGTGATGCTGGTGTACCACCCCCGCGGCTTCCGCAATGGATTAGTCCACTCAGACAGGCCTGAATCAGACAGGTGTCTGGAGTAGTCCACTCAGACAGGCCTGAATCAGACAGGTGTCTGGATTAGTCCACTCAGACAGGCCTGAATCAGACAGGTGTCTGGATTAGTCCACTCAGACAGGCCTGAATCAGACAGGTGTCTGGATTAGTCCACTCAGACAGGCCGGAATCAGACAGGTGTCTGGATTAGTCCACTCAGACAGACCTGAATCAGACAGGTGTCTGGATTAGTCCACTCAGACAGGCCTGAATCAGACAGGTGTCTGGATTAGTCCACTCAGACAGGCCTGAATCAGACAGGTGTCTGGATTAGTCCACTCAGACAGGCCTGAATCAGACAGGTGTCTGGATTAGTCCACTCAGACAGGCCTGAATCAGACAGGTGTCTGGATTAGTCCACTCAGACAGGCCTGAATCAGACAGGTGTCTGGATTAGTCCACTCAGACAGGCCTGAATCAGACAGATGTCTGGATTAGTCCACTCAGACAGGCCTGAATCAGACAGGTGTCTGGATTAGTCCACTCAGACAGGCCTGAATCAGACAGGTGTCTGGATTAGTCCACTCAGACAGGCCTGAATCAGACAGGTGTCTGGATTAGTCCACTCAGACAGGCCTGAATCAGACAGGTGTCTGGATTAGTCCACTCAGACAGACCTGAATCAGACAGGTGTCTGGATTAGTCCACTCAGACAGGCCTGAATCAGACAGGTGTCTGGATTAGTCCACTCAGACAGGCGGGAATCAGACAGGTGTCTGGATTAGTCCACTCAGACAGGCCTGAATCAGACAGGTGTCTGGATTAGTCCACTCAGACAGGCGGGAATCAGACAGGTGTCTGGATTAGTCCACTCAGACAGGCCTGAATCAGACAGGTGTCTGGATTAGTCCACTCAGACAGGCCTGAATCAGACAGGTGTCTGGATTAGTCCACTCAGACAGGCCTGAATCAGACAGGTGTCTGGATTAGTCCACTCAGACAGGCCTGAATCAGACAGGTGTCTGGATTAGTCCACTCAGACAGGCCTGAATCAGACAGGTGTCTGGATTAGTCCACTCAGACAGGCCTGAATCAGACAGGTGTCTGGATTAGTCCACTCAGACAGGCCTGAATCAGACAGGTGTCTGGATTAGTCCACTCAGACAGACCTGAATCAGACAGGTGTCTGGATTAGTCCACTCAGACAGACCTGAATCAGACAGGTGTCTGGATTAGTCCACTCAGACAGGCCTGAATCAGACAGGTGTCTGGATTAGTCCACTCAGACAGGCGGGAATCAGACAGGTGTCTGGATTAGTCCACTCAGACAGGCCTGAATCAGACAGGTGTCTGGATTAGTCCACTCAGACAGGCGGGAATCAGACAGGTGTCTGGATTAGTCCACTCAGACAGGCTTGAATCAGACAGGTGTCTGGATTAGTCCACTCAGACAGGCCTGAATCAGACAGGTGTCTGGATTAGTCCACTCAGACAGGCCTGAATCAGACAGGTGTCTGGATTAGTCCACTCAGACAGGCCTGAATCAGACAGGTGTCTGGATTAGTCCACTCAGACAGGCGGGAATCAGACAGGTGTCTGCATTAGTCCACTCAGACAGGCCTGAATCAGACAGGTCTGGATTAGTCCACTCAGACAGGCCTGAAATCAGACAGGTGTCTGGATTAGTCCACTCAGACAGGCCTGAATTAGACAGGTGTCTGGATTAGTCCACTCAGACAGGCGGGAATCAGACAGGTGTCTGGATTAGTCCACTCAGACAGGCCTGAATCAGACAGGTGTCTGGATTAGTCCACTCAGACAGGCGGGAATCAGACAGGTGTCTGGATTAGTCCACTCAGACAGACCTGAATCAGACAGGTGTCTGGATTAGTCCACTCAGACAGGCCTGAATCAGACAGGTGTCTGGATTAGTCCACTCAGACAGGCCTGAATCAGACAGTTGTCTGGATTAGTCCACTCAGACAGGCGGGAATCAGACAGTTGTCTGGATTAGTCCACTCAGACAGGCCTGAATCAGACAGGTGTCTGGATTAGTCCACTCAGACATGCCTGAATCAGACAGGTGTCTGGATTAGTCCACTCAGACAGGCGGGAATCAGACAGGTGTCTGGATTAGTCCACTCAGACAGGCCTGAATCAGACAGGTGTCTGGATTAGTCCACTCAGACAGGCCTGAATCAGACAGGTGTCTGGATTAGTCCACTCAGACAGGCCTGAATCAGACAGGTGTCTGGATTAGTCCACTCAGACAGGCCTGAATCAGACAGGTGTCTGGATTAGTCCACTCAGACAGGCCTGAATCAGACAGGTGTCTGGATTAGTCCACTCAGACAGGCCTGAATCAGACAGGTGTCTGGATTAGTCCACTCAGACAGGCCTGAATCAGACAGGTGTCTGGATTAGTCCACTCAGACAGGCCTGAATCAGACAGGTGTCTGGATTAGTCCACTCAGACAGGCCTGAATCAGACAGGTGTCTGGATTAGTCCACTCAGACAGGCCTGAATCAGATAGGTGTCTGGATTAGTCCACTCAGACAGACCTGAATCAGACAGGTGTCTGGATTAGTCCACTCAGACAGGCGGGAATCAGACAGGTGTCTGGATTAGTCCACTCAGACAGGCCTGAATCAGACAGGTGTCTGGATTAGTCCACTCAGACAGGCGGGAATCAGACAGGTGTCTGGATTAGTCCACTCAGACAGGCGGGAATCAGACAGGTGTCTGGATTAGTCCACTCAGACAGGCCTGAATCAGACAGGTGTCTGGATTAGTCCACTCAGACAGGCCTGAATCAGACAGGTGTCTGGATTAGTCCACTCAGACAGGCCTGAATCAGACAGGTGTCTGGATTAGTCCACTCAGACAGGCCTGAATCAGACAGGTGTCTGGATTAGTCCACTCAGACAGGCCTGAATCAGACAGGTGTCTGGATTAGTCCACTCAGACAGGCCTGAATCAGACAGGTGTCTGGATTAGTCCACTCAGACAGGCCTGAATCAGACAGGTGTCTGGATTAGTCCACTCAGACAGGCCTGAATCAGACAGGCGTCTGGATTAGTCCACTCAGACAGGCCGGAATCAGACAGGCGTCTGGATTAGTCCACTCAGACAGGCCGGAATCAGACAGGCGTCTGGATTAGTCCACTCAGACAGGCCTGAATCAGACAGGCGTCTGGATTAGTCCACTCAGACAGGCCTGAATCAGACAGGTGTCTGGATTAGTCCACTCAGACAGGCCTGAATCAGACAGGTGTCTGGAGTAGTCCACTCAGACAGGCCGGAATCAGACAGGTGTCTGGATTAGTCCACTCAGACAGGCCGGAATCAGACAGGTGTCTGGATTAGTCCACTCAGACAGGCGGGAATTAGACAGGTGTCTGGATTAGTCCACTCAGACAGGCCGGAATCAGACAGGTGTCTGGATTAGTCCACTCAGACAGGCCTGAATCAGACAGGTGTCTGGATTAGTCCACTCAGACAGGCCCGAATCAGACAGGTGTCTGGATTAGTCCACTCAGACAGGCCTGAATCAGACAGGTGTCTGGATTAGTCCACTCAGACAGGCCTGAATCAGACAGGTGTCTGGAAATCAGACAGGTGTCTGGATTAGTCCACTCAGACAGGCCTGAATCAGACAGGTGTCTGGAGTAGTCCACTCAGACAGGCCTGAATCAGACAGGTGTCTGGATTAGTCCACTCAGACAGGCCTGAATCAGACAGGTGTCTGGATTAGTCCACTCAGACAGGCCTGAATCAGACGGGTGTCTGGATTAGTCCACTCAGACAGGCCTGAATCAGACGGGTGTCTGGAGTAGTCCACTCAGACAGGCCTGAATCAGACAGGTGTCTGGATTAGTCCACTCAGACAGGCCTGAATCAGACAGGTGTCTGGATTAGTCCACTCAGACAGGCCTGAATCAGATAGGTGTCTGGATTAGTCCACTCAGACAGACCTGAATCAGACAGGTGTCTGGATTAGTCCACTCAGACAGGCGGGAATCAGACAGGTGTCTGGATTAGTCCACTCAGACAGGCCTGAATCAGACAGGTGTCTGGATTAGTCCACTCAGACAGGCGGGAATCAGACAGGTGTCTGGATTAGTCCACTCAGACAGGCGGGAATCAGACAGGTGTCTGGATTAGTCCACTCAGACAGGCCTGAATCAGACAGGTGTCTGGATTAGTCCACTCAGACAGGCCTGAATCAGACAGGTGTCTGGATTAGTCCACTCAGACAGGCCTGAATCAGACAGGTGTCTGGATTAGTCCACTCAGACAGGCCTGAATCAGACAGGTGTCTGGATTAGTCCACTCAGACAGGCCTGAATCAGACAGGTGTCTGGATTAGTCCACTCAGACAGGCCTGAATCAGACAGGTGTCTGGATTAGTCCACTCAGACAGGCCTGAATCAGACAGGTGTCTGGATTAGTCCACTCAGACAGGCCTGAATCAGACAGGTGTCTGGATTAGTCCACTCAGACAGGCCGGAATCAGACAGGTGTCTGGATTAGTCCACTCAGACAGGCCTGAATCAGACAGGTGTCTGGATTAGTCCACTCAGACAGGCCTGAATCAGACAGGCGTCTGGATTAGTCCACTCAGACAGGCCTGAATCAGACAGGCGTCTGGATTAGTCCACTCAGACAGGCCGGAATCAGACAGGCGTCTGGATTAGTCCACTCAGACAGGCCGGAATCAGACAGGCGTCTGGATTAGTCCACTCAGACAGGCCGGAATCAGACAGGCGTCTGGATTAGTCCACTCAGACAGGCCTGAATCAGACAGGCGTCTGGATTAGTCCACTCAGACAGGCCTGAATCAGACAGGTGTCTGGATTAGTCCACTCAGACAGGCCTGAATCAGACAGGTGTCTGGAGTAGTCCACTCAGACAGGCCGGAATCAGACAGGTGTCTGGATTAGTCCACTCAGACAGGCCGGAATCAGACAGGTGTCTGGATTAGTCCACTCAGACAGGCGGGAATTAGACAGGTGTCTGGATTAGTCCACTCAGACAGGCCGGAATCAGACAGGTGTCTGGATTAGTCCACTCAGACAGGCCTGAATCAGACAGGTGTCTGGATTAGTCCACTCAGACAGGCCTGAATCAGACAGGTGTCTGGATTAGTCCACTCAGACAGGCCTGAATCAGACAGGTGTCTGGATTAGTCCACTCAGACAGGCCTGAATCAGACAGGTGTCTGGAAATCAGACAGGTGTCTGGATTAGTCCACTCAGACAGGCCTGAATCAGACAGGTGTCTGGAGTAGTCCACTCAGACAGGCCTGAATCAGACAGGTGTCTGGATTAGTCCACTCAGACAGGCCTGAATCAGACAGGTGTCTGGATTAGTCCACTCAGACAGGCCTGAATCAGACGGGTGTCTGGATTAGTCCACTCAGACAGGCCTGAATCAGACGGGTGTCTGGAGTAGTCCACTCAGACAGGCCTGAATCAGACGGGTGTCTGGATTAGTCCACTCAGACAGGCGGGAATTAGACAGGTGTCTGGATTAGTCCACTCAGACAGGCGGGAATCAGACGGGTGTCTCGTGTGCCATAATATTTCTTAAAATATATTTGCCGCTGCTCGACTAAAATAATCTTGGTCGACCAAACGATCGACCAGTCGACTAAATGGGGTCAGCCCTGCGTTCATATTTCATCAACACTGTTAAGTACAAGCATATTAAGGTTCTACTATTGTAGAGAACAAGCAAATGATTCATTTATGTAATTCATAATGGCACAGGCTAAAGAAAATGAAATATAGACATTAATTTAGTAGCACTCTCTTAAATTGACCCGTATTTCACTACATCCTAGAGCAGTGAGTGAATGCACCTATGAGGTGTAACAAAATGTTTTATAAAACTCTTGTTGTAGACATTTTTTAATTTAGGTAGAAATGATTTGATATTAGTTGGAGCTATTTGTGATGTACCTTTCTCTTCTTGCATCTCCAGCCACATCTCCCATCTCCTACTATGAGTTTGTCATCGACCCCACCTCCTTCTCCCGCTCTGTGGAGAACATCTTCCACACCTCTTTCCTGGTCAGGGTGAGTGTGGTTTATCCTGCAGGGATTACGTTCAGGTATGGTCGGGGGACGAGGAGTGGTTTATTCTGGTCAGGGATCACATTCTCATACTGAAATGTAGGCCCTCACTGTGTTTGGATTAGTCCCTGAATAGAAGTGTGTTTGGACTAGTGCCAGAATTAGAAGTGTTTCCTAGGTGACGAGTTGTTATTAGATACCAGGAAGCCACTCCAAGGCACTGCTCTCCCTAACACTTCTCCTATTGATATTTCATCTGCATGGTAGGTGATGGTGGTGTTTGTGTTTCTCAGGATGGTTTGGCGAGGATTTACCTGGATAATTGCAAACTTCCTTGTATAGGTAAGAAATAACCTCGTATTGAGACCTTTTTTTACTTTTTAAAGCTGTTTGGGTAATCATTTTTCATTATAGTGTTGTTCATTGTCGTAACCAATCATGAATCTGGCTTTATGTCTTTCTGTGTGTGTGGAACAGCCCCTGTGGAGGAAGGAGAGGTGGAGGCTGGAGGAGCATCTAACAGGCAGCAGTGTGTCATCTCTATTAGCCCTAAGAGCTGGAAGGTAACACACACACTGGGACACACACACTGGGGGACACACACACACACACACACACACTGGGACACACACACACACTGAGACACACACACACTGGGACACACACACTGGGGGACACACACACACACACACACACACTGGGACACACACACACACTGAGACACACACACACTGGGACACACACACTGGGGGACACACACACACACACACACACATGGGACCACACACACACTGAGCACACACACACTGGACACACACATGGGACACACACACACACACACACACACACTGGGACACACACACACACAGAGACAACACACACACTGGGACACACACACTGGGGGACACACACACACACACACACACACACTGGGACACACACACACACTGAGACACACACACACTGGGACACACACACTGGGGGACACACACACACACACACCACACTGGGACACACACACACTGGGACACACACACTGGGGGACACACACACACACTGAGACACACACACACTGGACACACACACTGGGGGACACACACACACTGGGGGACACACACACACTGGGACACACACACACTGGGACACACACACATTGGGACACACACACACATTGGGACACACACACACACTGAACACAACACACACTGAGACACACACACACACTGAGACACACACATTGGGACACACACACATTGGGACACACACACACTGGGACACACACACACACTGGGACACACACACACTGGGACACACACACACTGGGACACACACACACTGGGACACACACACTGGGGGACACACACACACACACTGGGACACACACACACACACTGGGACACACACACACTGGGACACACACACACACACACACACTGGGACACACACACACTGGGACACACACACACACACACACTGGGACACACACACACACACTGGGACACACACTGGGACACACACACACACACTGGGACACACACACACACACTGACACACACACACACTGGGACACACACACACTGAGACACACACACACACACACTGAGACACACACACACACACACACTGAGACACACACACACTGAGACACACACACACACACACTGAGACACACACACACACACACTGGGACACACACACACTGAGACACACACACACTGGGACACACACACACACTGAGACACACACACACTGGGACACACACACTGGGGGACACACACACACACACACACACACTGGGACACACACACACTGGGACACACACACTGGGGGACACACACACACACTGAGACACACACACACTGGGACACACACACTGGGGGACACACACACACTGGGGGACACACACACCACTGGGACACACACACACTGGGACACACACACATTGGGACACACACACACACTGGGGGACACACACACACATTGGGACACACACACACACTGAGACACACACACACACTGAGACACACACACACACTGAGACACACACATTGGGACACACACACATTGGGACACACACACACTGGGACACACACACACTGGGACACACACACACACTGGGACACACACACACTGGGACACACACACACTGGGACACACACACACTGGGACACACACACTGGGGGGACACACACACACACACTGGGACACACACCACACACACTGGGACACACACACACTGGGACACACACACACACACACACACACTGGGACACACACACACTGGGACACACACACACACACACACACACTGGGACACACACACACACTGGGACACACACGGGACACCACACACACACTGGGACACACACACACACTGACACACACACACACTGAGACACACACACACACTGAGACACACACACACACACACTGAGACACACACACACACACTGAGACACACACACACTGAGACACACACACACACACACTGAGACACACACACACACACACTGGGACACACACACAGAGACACACACACACTGGGACACACACACACACTGAGACACACACACACACACACACACTGAGACACACACACACACACACTGGGACACACACTGGGACACACACACACACACACTGAGACACACACACCCTGAGACACACACCAACACACACACTGAGACACACACACACACACACTGGGACACACACACACTGAGACACACACACACACACTGAGACACACACACACACACTGAGACACACACACACACACACACACACTGAGAGACACACACACACACACACTGGGACACACACACACTGAGACACACACACACACTGGGACACACACACACTGAGACACACACACACACACTGAGACACACACACACACACACACACACACTGAGACACACACACACTGAGACACACACACACTGAGACACACACACACACTGGGACACACACACACTGAGACACACACACTGGGACACACACACACTGGGACACACACACACTGGGACACACACACACACTGGGACACACACACACTGGGACACACACACACTGGGACACACACACACACACACACATACTGAGACACACACACACGCACTGAGACAGGGACACACACACACTGGGACACACAGACACACTGAGACATTGTTTTCAGCATCATTTATTGTAACTCTTCCTCCATACGTAGTACACAGCAGTAGAGTTTGTACAGGAGTTGGTTGTTGATGATGTTGATGATTGTGTTCTGTTCTGTCTCTGTCTCTCTGTAGGAGTTAATCGAGGCCTTTGATATCACCGAGCCACTGATCCAGGTTCCCAGCACACAGAATGATGCTGATGTGTAACAGCTAGTTATTTTTAAAACATTAGAGCATTTTTATTGACTTTAAATCTAGCTAATAAATATTAGTTTTCTATTAATAGTCCTTGTTGGCGGCTTTTGTATTTTTTGATTAAAGAGAGTGAACCCAAGTCAGTGATGTGTGTTTGACTTAAAGGAAGAAAATGAGGGTGATCTGCACGTCATAAACATATATTCTGCTGAGCTAACACATAACAGTGAGATAAGGAAAGCACATGGAATATTGCTGCTCCCCAGTGCTTTTTTTTTTCCTGCACCCAGATATACAACGTTTTTGCTTTACAGAAGTCTTGAAGCCTATAGTTCTCCATAGTCCTTTTGGCCAGAAGGTTAAGACGTCCCTGTTAGCCTGCTGTGTTTCTCATCTCCAGCTGCGGTTTGCTAGTGATTTTCATGCATTCCTATGTCCGTGTGTGTTTAGGTGGAAATCATTAATCATGTAACTGCAGGTAAATAATGGGTGTATAGTGGACGTTTCAACATGTAACTGCAGGTAAATAATGGGTGTATAGGGGACGTTTCAGTTTCAACATGTAACTGCAGGTAAATAATGGGTGTATAGGGGACGTTTCAACATGTAACTGCAGGTAAATAATGGGTGTATAGGGGACGTTTCAGTTTCAACATGTAACTGCAGGTAAATAATGGGTGTATAGGGGACGTTTCAACATGTAACTGCAGGTAAATAATGGGTGTATAGGGGACGTTTCAGTTTCATCATGTAACTCCAGGTAAATAATGGGTGTATAGGGGACGTTTCAGTTTCAACATGTAACTGCAGGTAAATAATGGGTGTATAGGGGACGTTTCAGTTTCATCATGTAACTGCAGGTAAATAATGGGTGTATAGGGGACGTTTCCGTTTCAACATGTAACTGCAGGTAAATAATGGGTGTATAGGGGACGTTTCAGTTTCAACATGTAACTGCAGGTAAATAATGGGTGTATAGGGGACGTTTCAACATGTAACTGCAGGTAAATAATGGGTGTATAGGGGACGTTTCAGTTTCATCATGTAACTGCAGGTAAATAATGGGTGTATTGGGGACGTTTCAGTTTCAACATGTAACTGCAGGTAAATAATGGGTGTATAGGGGACGTTTCAACATGTAACTTCAGGTAAATAATGGGTGTATAGGGGACGTTTCAACATGTAACTGCAGGTAAATAATGGGTGTATAGGGGACGTTTCAGTTTCATCATGTAACTGCAGGTAAATAATGGGTGTATAGGGGACGTTTCAGTTTCAACATGTAACTGCAGGTAAATAATGGGTGTATTGGGGACGTTTCAGTTTCATCATCTAACTGCAGGTAAATAATGGGTGTATAGGGGACGTTTCAGTTTCAACATGTAACTGCAGGTAAATAATGGGTGTATAGGGGACATTTCAGTTTCAACATGTAACTGCAGGTAAATAATGGATGTATAGGGGACGTTTCAGTTTCAACATGTAACTGCAGGTAAATAATGGGTGTATAGGGGACGTTTCAGTTTCAACATGTAACTGCAGGTAAATAATGGGTGTATAGGGGACGTTTCAACATGTAACTGCAGGTAAATAATGGGTGTATAGGGGACGTTTCAGTTTCAACATTTAACTGCAGGTAAATAATGGGTGTATAGGGGACGTTTCAGTTTCAACATGTAACTGCAGGTAAATAATGGGTGTATTGGGGACGTTTCAGTTTCAACATGTAACTGCAGGTAAATAATGGGTGTATTGGGGACGTTTCAGTTTCATCATGTAACTGCAGGTAAATAATGGGTGTATTGGGGACGTTTCAGTTTCAACATGTAACTGCAGGTAAATAATGGGTGTATAGGGGACGTTTCAACATGTAACTTCAGGTAAATAATGGGTGTATAGGGGACGTTTCAACATGTAACTGCAGGTAAATAATGGGTGTATAGGGGACGTTTCAGTTTCAACATGTAACTGCAGGTAAATAATGGGTGTATAAGGGACGTTTCAGTTTCATCATGTAACTGCAGGTAAATAATGGGTGTATAGGGGACGTTTCAGTTTCAACATGTAACTGCAGGTAAATAATGGGTGTATAGGGGACGTTTCAGTTTCAACATGTAACTGCAGGTAAATAATGGATGTATAGGGGACGTTTCAGTTTCAACATGTAACTGCAGGTAAATAATGGGTGTATTGGGGACGTTTCAGTTTCATCATGTAACTGCAGGTAAATAATGGGTGTATAGGGGACGTTTCAGTTTCAACATGTAACTGCAGGTAAATAATGGGTGTATAGGGGACGTTTCAACATGTAACTGCAGGTAAATAATGGGTGTATAGGGGACGTTTCAGTTTCAACATGTAACTGCAGGTAAATAATGGGTGTATAGGGGACGTTTCAGTTTCAACATGTAACTGCAGGTAAATAATGGGTGTATAGGGGACGTTTCAGTTTCAACATGTAACTGCAGGTAAATAATGGGTGTATAGGGGACGTTTCAGTTTCATCATGTAACTGCAGGTAAATAATGGGTGTATAGGGGACGTTTCAGTTTCAACATGTAACTGCAGGTAAATAATGGGTGTATAGGGGACGTTTCAACATGTAACTGCAGGTAAATAATGGGTGTATAGGGGACGTTTCAGTTTCAACATGTAACTGCAGGTAAATAATGGGTGTATAGGGGACGTTTCAGTTTCAACATGTAACTGCAGGTAAATAATGGGTGTATAGGGGACGTTTCAGTTTCATCATCTAACTGCAGGTAAATAATGGGTGTATTGGGGACGTTTCAGTTTCATCATGTAACTGCAGGTAAATAATGGGTGTATAGGGGACGTTTCAGTTTCAACATGTAACTGCAGGTAAATAATGGGTGTATAGGGGACGTTTCAGTTTCAAAATGTAACTGCAGGTAAATAATGGGTGTATAGGGGACGTTTCAGTTTCAACATGTAACTGCAGGTAAATAATGGGTGTATTGGGGACGTTTCAGTTTCATCATGTAACTGCAGGTAAATAATGGGTGTATAGGGGACGTTTCAGTTTCAACATGTAACTGCAGGTAAATAATGGGTGTATAGGGGACGTTTCAGTTTCATCATCTAACTGCAGGTAAATAATGGGTGTATAGGGGACGTTTCAGTTTCATCATCTAACTGCAGGTAAATAATGGGTGTATAGGGGACGTTTCAGTTTCAACATGTAACTGCAGGTAAATAATGGGTGTATAGGGGACGTTTCAGTTTCATCATGTAACTGCAGGTAAATAATGGGTGTATAGGGGACGTTTCAACATGTAACTGCAGGTAAATAATGGATGTATAGGGGACGTTTCAGTTTCATCATGTAACTGCAGGTAAATAATGGGTGTATTGGGGACGTTTCAGTTTCATCATGTAACTGCAGGTAAATAATGGGTGTATAGGGGACGTTTCAGTTTCAACATGTAACTGCAGGTAAATAATGGGTGTATAGGGGACGTTTCAGTTTCATCATGTAACTGCAGGTAAATAATGGGTGTATAGGGGACGTTTCAGTTTCAACATGTAACTGCAGGTAAATAATGGGTGTATAGGGGACGTTTCAACATGTAACTTCAGGTAAATAATGGGTGTATAGGGGACGTTTCAACATGTAACTGCAGGTAAATAATGGGTGTATAGGGGACGTTTCAGTTTCAACATGTAACTGCAGGTAAATAATGGGTGTATAGGGGACGTTTCAGTTTCATCATGTAACTGCAGGTAAATAATGGGTGTATAGGGGACGTTTCCGTTTCAACATGTAACTGCAGGTAAATAATGGGTGTATAGGGGACGTTTCAGTTTCAACATGTAACTGCAGGTAAATAATGGGTGTATAGGGGACGTTTCAGTTTCAACATGTAACTGCAGGTAAATAATGGGTGTATTGGGGACGTTTCAGTTTCATCATGTAACTGCAGGTAAATAATGGGTGTATAGGGGACGTTTCAGTTTCAACATGTAACTGCAGGTAAATAATGGGTGTATAGGGGACGTTTCAGTTTCATCATCTAACTGCAGGTAAATAATGGGTGTATAGGGGACGTTTCAGTTTCATCATCTAACTGCAGGTAAATAATGGGTGTATAGGGGACGTTTCAGTTTCAACATGTAACTGCAGGTAAATAATGGGTGTATAGGGGACGTTTCAGTTTCATCATGTAACTGCAGGTAAATAATGGGTGTATAGGGGACGTTTCAACATGTAACTGCAGGTAAATAATGGATGTATAGGGGACGTTTCAGTTTCATCATCTAACTGCAGGTAAATAATGGGTGTATTGGGGACGTTTCAGTTTCATCATGTAACTGCAGGTAAATAATGGGTGTATAGGGGACGTTTCAGTTTCAACATGTAAATAATGGGTGTATAGGGGACGTTTCAGTTTCAACATGTAACTGCAGGTAAATAATGGGTGTATAGGGGACGTTTCAACATGTAACTGCAGGTAAATAATGGGTGTATAGGGGACGTTTCAGTTTCAACATGTAACTGCAGGTAAATAATGGGTGTATAGGGGACGTTTCAACATGTAACTGCAGGTAAATAATGGGTGTATAGGGGACGTTTCAGTTTCAACATGTAACTGCAGGTAAATAATGGGTGTATAGGGGACGTTTCAGTTTCATCATGTAACTGCAGGTAAATAATGGGTGTATAGGGGACGTTTCCGTTTCAACATGTAACTGCAGGTAAATAATGGGTGTATAGGGGACGTTTCAGTTTCAACATGTAACTGCAGGTAAATAATGGGTGTATAGTGGACGTTTCAGTTTCAACATGTAACTGCAGGTAAATAATGGGTGTATTGGGGACGTTTCAGTTTCATCATGTAACTGCAGGTAAATAATGGGTGTATAGGGGACGTTTCAGTTTCAACATGTAACTGCAGGTAAATAATGGGTGTATAGGGGACGTTTCAGTTTCATCATCTAACTGCAGGTAAATAATGGGTGTATAGGGGGACGTTTCAGTTTCATCATCTAACTGCAGGTAAATAATGGGTGTATAGGGGACGTTTCAGTTTCAACATGTAACTGCAGGTAAATAATGGGTGTATAGGGGACGTTTCAGTTTCAACATGTAACTGCAGGTAAATAATGGGTGTATAG